ATATGTATTTTCAAATGAAAACAGTTAAGGTTAAGATGATTAATGATTTTTATTCATATCCTGAATGTTTTAAACTGGGATTTAATATGGACAGCAATGCATTTAAATTTGGTCAAATAATTGTTTGTTTCAAAATTTTTAATAAAGTTTTTTTTAAAAGTAGCACAAACAGTGACACCGTATTCATAGAGGTTGATGACGTCCAAATTTGGCACACTTGTGTACTACACACTCCAAGTCTTCAACAAAAAGAGGAATGCTTTATTGTATATTTCAAGGTCAAAAGATTCTAACTTAATTTCCGTCAGCTGCCAGGAAATCTGCCCACTCTGCATTTAATTACAAAGACACGTGTGTGTCATGAAGTAGCTGAATCATCTTAAAATTCTTACAAGTATTGATCAGTCGTGCAGGTTATGTGCTGGCATACGTGCCAAAAGTTGTAATCAACGACCCGATCATCCCTCTTATAAAAAGACTTTTTAAGCGTTTAGAAACGAAGCCAACATTAATGAGAATAACCGTGATGAACATTTAGTCCAGCTACCAGAAAAGTGCCTGAATTTGACCATTTTCTTCTATGATCTTGTCTGACAGCAATTTACAGGACAAAAGAAAGATAGCGAGAGAGAGAGAGAGAGAGAGAGAGAGAGAGAGAGAGAGAGAGAGAGAGAGAGAGAGAGAAAGAGAGAGAGAGAGAGAGAGAGAGAGAGAGAGAGACGCAGTGCTAAATAAGCTCCTGCCACTTAAAAAAATAAGAGATGCTGCATCGCAGCAGCCAGGATTGAACGTTGTGTCAGCACAGGGAGTGAAACCACACTCCCAGGCTGGGCTGCTCCTGGAGCGGGTTCAGTAAAGGTCATGCAGGACTGCCCATCTTTCTTTAAAGGCTGTTTACGACGCATAAAAAGTCTTCTCTGCACACTGACCACATTTTTAAACTAAAGGAAGACATCCCTGAAACTTTTCCTCAAAATAATGCTTGTTTCGTGGCGCTCCTCATCCACGTTGACACGTGTATCCTCAGATTAGATCTGAACAGACCAGTAGCTCCAGAACATCAGATGATCCCCTCTTCCTCCTCGCTTTATCATTATCTCCATGAGAGATGACACTGAGACTTACTTGCCATAAAAATAACACCATGCATCTATTAAAACAGACATAATTAAACACGGTAGATAATGAGGAGCTGCCAAGTTGAATACAGCTTTCACTTAATTCGTCTGTAGAGAAATTTCACTGTTGGTGCTCTGAGGTTCTTTTATTCGTCTACATTTAAATGCCTACTGAAGTTTGCTGAAATTTTGCAAAAATTTAAATGGTGATGAATAAAAACACACAAGGGTCAGAAGAAATTTTTATGAGCAAAAAGCTGGCCATGAACTTGCAGCACAGCTTAAAACCAGCATGAAATATAACACATTCCTGCAATGCTTCAGTGAGGATGCTGATGATTCTTGCTTATGAAAAATTTTTAACTTTCTTCCTCGACCTTTGGGCAACCCCACATGGTCAGTGGACTTTGGCAGGGATCAGATTAGAAATCCAGAGCTGACACTGCTTACCAGAGGCTGTGACATCATATCGTTTAATGAACAATGTGATTTAATCCCATCTGGGTCAGCAGGGAGTGTTTTTGTCAGTTCTGATTATCAAAAGGATTTCAGGCTTGGAGACAAAGACAGGTTAGGTATTCCTGTCTGAAGCTTTTAGATCTTAGTGTTTCCTTTTTCAGAGAAAAACTGTCAAAGTGAGATCATGAATATTCTGCAGAGGACTTAAAATCACAAAATAATGTGAGTATCTATCACATATTGCTGTTTTTATTTCTATAACAGGCTTGAGTGGTTTAGAAAAGAGGGGAAATTCCAACAAATGGAAGATTTGTTGGTCATTGATTAACTCACAGCAGCTACAGTGATCATCAAGATTAAGACAAAGGGTTGGTTGTTTATAGTCAGATTTCTGGTTCCTGTTGACATTTTTCTCTCAGTGTTTTCCTGATTGAGCTTAATAAGCTCTTGTAAGGATCCCCTTAACAACTAATGATAATGAGAAGACATAATTGTAGCATACTGGTACGAAACAACTTTTAAAACTAAAAAGTATGACATTTAAATTTGACTATTTGGATGAGAAACTGATCAAACATACCCTAGCTACCTAATCCTCAAACTAGATGACTGAAAGTTGTATTTTTTAAAAACTCCAGTTAAATTAGCAGAAAATAAGAAATAAACATTTTCAAATAAACACCTGACCTCTAAAAGCGTCTGTGTTAGTATATTTCAGGACAACCACTGGCAAAATATTACATGTTTTTTAACATTGATGCCCATCCTGGTCTTTGTGCACATTTAAAGGGTTTTTCTGCTCCAACAAAACTGATCCAACAGAATTACTCTTTCAGTGTGTCCTCGAGTTCTGCAGGAGGCTGTTAATCACCAACCAATCAGGTGTGTTGGTGCAGAAGAGGCATATTAAACATACAGTGCTGGCCTTCCATGCCATTCCACCCCAACTGCAAATGAAAATAATTAAAAATACGAAGGAGTTAAAGGAGCTGATTTAGACTTGGGACCAGATCGCGACAAAACGCTGCTGCAAGCCACTGCCGCAAAGTGCAAGGATACTACGCAGCAGCCCCAAAACTCACCATTTACTGTAATTAGAGTGAAAAGTTATAAATCTTATACAGTTAACCTGGAAGTGTCTCCCAAATGTTGTCCATGTGCTCTGCAGCAGCGGCTTAGCGGTGCTAGCTGTTGCTTTTCACTTACATTGTTTAGGCTAAGCTAAAGCAAATGGAGGACTGACAGATTAGGAGAATGACTGGGCTGGTCACAAAATGCTTTTCCCCACTGATCTAACTGGGGAACATGGCAACAAACTCAATTTCAATTATAGGTAGAATATCCCTTCAGGATTTGACACAACTGATTTGAAAACTAGACATTTATAGAAGAGGCTGGGAAGTTTTGAATGGTGCTGATGTGCATCTTGCATTACTATGAAATTTTATTGTTAGGTTTAGGGATTTTATATTTAAAAAGTTGGTTCAGTTCATTCAGGTTCCTTGGACTTTTAGAAAAATTTGCCAACTTTTGTGGTAAAAGAATAGAAACCTCATCCTACAACTGTGCATGCAAATTCAGACAAATCTATTTTTGCAGCAGGAATTAGACACCTGAAGACAAATTTGTCTGTGCAAATAAAAAGATTGAATAGAGTTTTTGTGAGTTATTGTTTTTTTTTTTTTTACTTTTGCAACAAACAAATGGAACTTCTGTCAGAGTGAAAAGCTTTTAAACAAAAATAAGGACATGAGCTAAGATTTTTGTTCGATCTACTAGTTTAATTAATAAATAATATTTAAAAACAAGACAGTCCATCTGAGCAGGGTTTAGCTGATAAACAATGTGCCTGAGCATGACTTTTTATGGAATTTAGCAAGGCTGTAGGTACCACATATAACAGGAAATACGCCAGTTGGCAGAATGGTACATGCCATTTATTTTCACACCAAAAGCACCAGCTAATACTTCCTCTTCTTTATTTATATCATGGTTAATCTGTCAACACTCTCCTAGCAGCTCCACAGTAAAATATAAACAACAATGGCCCTGAAAGTCATGCACACAGTCTCTTTTTTAATATTGATTTTAACCGACAAGTGGTGTTCAAAGTAATTTCTGTTATTCTTCAAAATCTTTTTTGAATTTCTTTCTAATTTACAAAGATTCCATAAAATCCAGACATGACTAAAGCCAAACACTGCAGCGTTGACCTGAAATAGCTCTTAAAAAACAAACAAAAAAAGCGTGCCCTTGCATTTGCTCTCTGCATTTTGCACAGTCAGAGCAAAGCTGACAAAAGTCCCCTCCTTTGCTCTCCGTCATTCTTCTCTTCATAAATTACAAAGCTCCACTTTGTTTTTTTTCTCTCCATCTTATCAGCTTTTGGTTCAGATGCCAAGTGCAGCTTCAGGACATGCTAACAGGACAAAATGAATCATTTCCTTCCTATTTTCCCATCGTCATCCCTAGCAACCACTCTCTGAGAGCCATTTAGAGGCAATGTGTGCTCCCTCCTGTCATTCTTCTACCCATTAGTGCTTTTTGCCATTGTCATTTGGATTTCTGTCCCATTCTTAGCAGCCATCTCCCATGCGGTGTCCTTGATGCTTGGCACAGAGAGACGAATTAGCCACAGCACGCTGAGATCTTTTATGACCCATGCAGCTTCACTGTAACTGCAGCGCATTGTGAAATAAATTGAAGGTAATAATAACTAACCATGTGAACTCATAAGGATTTTAAAGGTGTATAGTTCCCTTTTCCCTAATGAGGGGATTGAAATTAGATTTTCAGGGGTGACTGAAAACCGTGTTTTGCAGCTTTCATGCATCTTAAAAAAATGGGACAACTTATCTAAGAATTGAATCATGCAGCATTTTCTTTAAGCACAGTGATGCAGCTCATTTTCCTGGCTTAGAAATCAGAACAGTTTTACAATCTGCTTTGGAACAACGTAACTATTGTGTTTCCCCAAATAGCTGGACCCGTACAAACACACTACTTGACCTCACTGTTAGGTTAGCAGTCATTGTTTTATTTTTTTAAGTAGAGTTGAGATTTTTTTTCCTTTTTTCCTAAACACTTGAACTCATCAGAATGAGTTAAATCCTGTTTCAAAGGATTTCAGACATTTAAACTCCTGCGTGAAGCTGCTTGAGGGGAATCTACATGATCAAACAGGGCTTATATCAGCTTTTACCATTTTATTCTGCTTCTCGTGTATTCCCTGGCTCATACTTATAAAAGTGCAATCTCATCTTTGTGCTACATAGAACTTTTTTGTGCTTTTGATTTTCATCAGTAGGCCGGAATCCCAGGAAATCTAATGATCTGCTCTCAGCAGGGGATTGGTTAGGAGTGAAATAGGTTGACCTCAACCAACGTGGGGACGGTTCATTTTCATTTCAACACTCGGTAAGCTCACTCTCTCTTTGTGCTTGAAAAATAAGATGAAACAAGATTCATTTTCAGTCATTCACCTTAAAGCTGCAGCAGTTATTTAGGAGGTCAAAGATACAGAGAATCACATGATGTTGATAAGATACTGCGACAGCACCAAGGTGCTCTCTGCATTAAAAACATTTACTGCGAAAATTACTGATGCTTTATGCTCTCAGTATTTACCATATCAGTTGCATTAACTCCATGTAAATGCATTGCTAAAATCTTTTATATGCATAAGTAAATGAAATTCTTGCATCCACCTCCACTATAATAAACATTTCTCATGCACTAGGTCATTTTCTGCAAGTGTTCATAATTATTAGCTCAAGATGGGTTCCGTATACTAACTTGCTATGACTTGTTTATCATTAGTACAAATTTAATCCAAAGTGAAAGTAACACTAAGAAATACAACACCCACTTCCCTGTAAATGTTTGGTTATAGTGAATGTGCCATGTGCAGGTATTTGGTCGGCATAACTCAACCATGCAGGCAAGATCATGGCGGCTCATAAATGCGCTGCAGAGCCTTGCTATAGTCTCTCACACAAAACCAATAATAGATCTTTTATTTGAAAATTTAAATATTTCTTCATCCTCTAACTGTGTGTTAAGCGCTTACTCATGAGGTGGAAATTAATTTACGGTACAACAGAGCCTGCCTGACCTGATCTGATGAATAGGATTTTTTCTTTGTAAAACGGTCAGAAAAGGAAATAAACTGAGGAAAGAAAAATGTTCCAGAAAAATCTGTCAAGGTTTGAAGCTAATAAGACATCAACTCAGAACTGACTATTCATTCTGATTTAATTCTCTGAGGCTTTTTTAAACTAAAGAATGGGTTTCTGCATAAAGAAGTCTCCTGGTAAAGTCAAGCTTCTATTCAGTAAAACAAATCAGGGTATCATGATGAAAGCATGATGTCAGGAAGCAGTGTGTGGACCATGAAAAAAGATTTCTGAACATTTGTCTCTCGGGTTCATCTGCTACGGGGTCCTTTACTCTACTTGCAGAAGAAATATCAAAGGATTGCACATGGCTCAAAATGCAGCTTCCAGACATTTATCTGCTGAAAGAATCAGCAGCACCATGTTTTGCTGCCATTCACTGGATACTTGTTGGTTTTAAAATTGATGTTAAGAGGTGAACTGTCTTGTTGTTACTTATATACCATACCATATTTATTTATAAAGCACCATTTCAAAATAGCATGGCAGCTAACCAAAGTGCAATCTGCGAATCCATCGTGAACCCGACTGCTGCTTCAGATCTCCTGTAGAGCTGCAAAGCTGATTGAGCCTTTGTTGTTTGGGATTTTTAGCAGTTTAAAAGAAAATCTGGCAGATATCCTGCATGCAAATTGTCCATTTGCAAAAAGTTTTAGACAGTTTTCTTTATACTTAACACTTTCTGAATTCACAATTTTTTCTTTGCACATTTCATTGTTTCACTTTTCTAGTATTTATCAATTTACTAAATTGTCACGTATCCTTTAAAAACAATTAGGTTGAGAAACTTTTGTTAAAAGTGAAACTACACAGAAGAACAAGTTTTAGAGGGATATTCCACCCAAAAGGGAAGTTTTGTCTGTTGACATATTTCCCTGAGTTAGATAAGTGGTGAAGTTTATTTTAACCATCCCAGTCATTCTCATGACCGGGCAGTCCTCCTTTAGCTTTAGCTTAGCATGAAACACAGTAAGTGAATGGGACCAGCTAGCATTGTGAGAAAAAAGTCCTTAAAACACTCAGTAGTGATACTAGTTCTGCTTTTTGACCTAAATAATTATGTCAGCTGCATCTGAAAATAAAAAGTAACACAAAGGAACACCAGGCGACATTTTAGACTTAATGACAAAACACAGCAAAGATCATCACACAGTGGCCCCAAAGACACTTACTTTCGTGAACACATCCGACAGAGGCACAAGCTGCACAGAGATTATCAACACTAGTTTGAGTAAGTCACATTTGTAAGTTGAGAAAAAGTATCATGGTTTGGGTTGTCATGTCAACTGCAGAAATTTACTGCTGTAATTTGTCATAAAGTTGTCCCAAGTCTAAAATAACACCTGTAATTTCTTTGTGTTGCTTTTTAATTTCACATGCAGTCAGTATGATTATTTAGGTCACCAAGCAGAATTTGTATCACTAGTGATTTTCTTTTCTCACAGTGCTTGTTGGTCCCATTCACTCACTGTGTTTTATTCAAGTTTATTCAATTCAAGTTTATTTATATAGCGCCAAATCACGACAAGAGTCATCTCAAGGCACTTCACATAATAAGTTAAGTTAAAGGAGTAAAGGAGTAAAGCCTGGTCAAGAGAATGACTGGGCTGGTTACAAATAGCTTTTTCCAATGCTATTTAACTCTGGGAAATATGTTAGCAGACAAAATTTCACTTTGGGTGGAATATCCCTTTAAGATGAGCGTTATATATTTTTCTTAAGTTCAAGAAACTCCAGTCCATTTTGAGCCCAAGTTTCTTGTAAACTTCTAAAACTGATTTAGATCACTTCTCATAAAACTGTTTCTTTTTCCGGTAATTTTTACATTTACACCAACTGGAAACGCAACCCTGCACGTGATGATCATGTGACGTGCTGCAGCTAAAACAGATCTTGTGGTAAGAAGACATTTTACTCTGACACAGACATGTGTATTAGAAAAATATAGAAGCATTTTGATGTGATGAATGCCAGTTGTGCTCCAAGAGGGGAAGTGACCTAATTTCCTAAATTACCGTCTGACAGCATATTTATCCTTCCAAATAATAAATTAAAGGATATTTATCTTTAGTGCGTAGTATGTAGTTGTTAATGAGTGACAAACAGGATAATAGCAGAGCAACGCCTAAAAAAATGATGATTTCAGTTAGGAAGGGCTGCAGGATCATGCTAATGTTTATTTTAAAGACTAAACTTTGATGAGAGGTGATCTAAGGCATGATCTTGCATCTGCAGGCACAAAAACGGGCCAAACCGCCCCCATCTTGATCTTTAGTCTGCATGTGCTAATCAGGTCATCTTCACCGCATCAGGACAGGAGGTTTAAGTAATAACGTGGCTCCTATTCTTTCCTTCGCTGTTGCCCTCCAGACACGCAGCCAAGCGAAAGGTGCACAAGCCAACAAAACACTGTGGCCTAAGTGCTGCACAGGCTGACATTTCTAACACACACATCCATATACAGACGTGTGTGATTATGTACAGGCATGTAGAGAGATGCAACTCTTTTGAAGGCTGCAATCTTTTCTTTTTTATTTTTAGTTGTGCATACAAAGATCTGCCTAAAGAGTCCTGAAAATTTCATGGGATGAGACGCCAAATGCTCACCACTGTGTCTCAGCATGAATGAGATCATGCATTTATTTTCCTAAAGGTACAATCTAAAGTTTTGTGCATGTTATAGCCTCATTTTAGTTGTAATTTTCTTACTGTTGGCGATTTAGAGTGTGAACAATGACTTTGTCCTGTTTTTGGTGCTTTTAGAGCTCAAAATTTGAAACGAAGGGTTCCTAAAACAATCACACCAACTTGTTTACTTAATTTGAGCTATTTACAGTTAATTGGGTCTTGATTATCACAATAAAAACACATTTTTGTAAAAAAAAATATGTGGTCAATTATCCCTGTCTGGGAATGAACTGGGTCACATGCACTCTGGAGGCCATAAATATCCATTAGGGCACTAACATTCTTGTGTCATGAGTTCAACCAAGTTTAGGTTTACTTCTCTTTAAATAATGAAAGGTAAAATGATTACCTAACTGTTGAAAACAGAACTGATGCTTTTAGGTTTGGTTTAATTGTTGTTCTGACTCTCTCTGTCCTCCAAGTGAGATCTTGTAATTCATATAAATATGTAAGATAAAGTCTTCCCAGCTGTGTTTCAACTGGAACAACAATCCTCCCCTGCAGCTGAGGCTTGGCTGTTCATCCTCCTGCTGGGATGGAAGGATCTCCTTCATCTTCCTCTGCTGTTATCTTAATTGTAGATGTAGTTTTTTTTTTACTACTCATTGTTTTCAAGGCTCCAAATGTTTTCTTTCAAAACAAACGCCTGGCTGCTTTCAGTCACAGTGGACAGACATCTGCAGCTCAAGCAGTTTTAGACAGAGAGGAAACGACAGCGTTTCTCTCTTCCCACCTGATTTTGTGATCATATGTTTTGCTTTCTTTGAATTTAAAGAAAAAGAATTGAGAATTTTATGAGAACATAAAATAAAACGAAGCATTTTTTCTTATTTTGCTTGATTTCAGATAAAAATCTGAGAAAAGTTTAGTCAGAAAAGATAAAGAGGAAAATTTAGGAACAGTAAAAAAATGGTTTGTGCTAAGGTAGTGGCTCTCTACTCCCCTGTCTGTGTATGCTGGAAACCCCACCTCCCTCAGAGTTTCTCTTCAGACCCCTCCCTTCTACTTTTCGCTCAGTCTCTGGCTGAGGAATCCCAGGCAGCGTTTAATTGCAGAATGCAAAGACTTGAGTTAGGCTAATGAGCTCAGCACTGGCGCTCGGACTCCTCCACGCACCCTCTGAAAAAACAGAATACCACATGGAGTCCCTTACCCAAAGAGCCTCACAAAGCGGCTGGATTTCAGGTGGTGGCAAAGGCAGGAATCCTCAAATCCAGGTACAGTCGACTATTTGAGAGAATCTACCAGAGGCAGAAGACGTAAGAGGTGGAGAAAGAGAGGAGAGCGGGAGAGGGGAGGAGAGGGGAGGAGAGGGGAGGAGAGGGGAGGAGACGGGAAACCCACTGCCAGAGAGCCAGAGCAAAGGGAGAGACTGGACGCCTGCAGCAGCAAATGAGACAGAACAACGAGGCGGGAGAGGTAGAAAGAGAGACAGAGAGGGAGGGAGGTGGAGAGGGGCCCTGTGTTGGAGAGAGGGCTACAGGGTGAGGAAGAAGGAGAAGAAGGGGGGAGAAAAAGTTAGACAAAGTAAGGGAAAGAGGGTCTGAGGAAAGTACGCATGTAAGATTAACAGCTACAGCAGAGAAGAAAAGGGGGAACAACAGACAGGAAGGAAGGGGAGGGAGAAGTCTTGAGTAGAAAGTACCAAAAAGCCAGAGAAAAGTTTTCTTGTGGGAAGACGCAGATGAGGAAAGCAGCGAGTGGATGACTGGGCTGGAGAGCACTCGGAGAGGTGGAAACAAGTTGTTTTCTGAGGCGTTTTCTGCACAAGTCTCCAGGCATCTTTGGATATGTACACAGAAGGTTCACAAACAACGGGACACCACCGATTCCTTCACAACACCCACACCCCCTGCTCCTGCCAGCCCTGCATCTACCATGAGCAGCCAAACAAGTACCAGCGAGGGTCCGGATACCACCCTGCATCAGCCAGACAGACGGACCACTCATCTGCAGACTGCTGGAGAGACATCCAGGCTCCTCGGGTCAAAGACGCAGGAGGCAGGGCTTTCCTAGTGGACCGAGTTGAGAGAAGCGGTCATCTCAGCCCACAGAGGAGGCCTGTGTTTGCTGGGCCGGGCCTTCACAGCCACTCTGATGACTTAAACCAAGTCTGCCCCTGGGAATTGAACCCTGCCCAGTGGAGCGACCTGACGGAGCCTGGGGTGAGATGCTATTCAAGCGTGAAAGAACAGTGTGGCTGTGTGATGCACGGCAACAGGACACACCCCGTACACTCTGGGATACCACACCCTCTCCCTCATCTTCAGGTCAAAGGTCAAGGGTACAGGAGGGAAAAGATTGTCAGGTATATCTCGGTAGATGACGAGGAAGGCTGCAGATGCACTTTGGACAGCTATCATTTAGAGCCACACATCAACTCTCCACCAGGTTATTTTCCCATGACAAATGGCCACTGTGGTCCGAGGGGTGTGGTCTTTGAGGAAGAGGAGGAAGGAGATGACTATCAGGACCAGGGCAAGCTGAAGGGTGGATCAGAGGATGATCTTAATCACTGCAGTGGGTCTGATAAAAGCTTCTTCTCAACCGAAGTCCCACAAAAGCACTTGAGTCGAACACGACGAAAAGAATCCTGCATTCCTCTGTCCAACAACACCTGTTCGGAAACCTCCAAGTCAACGACCAGCAGCGAGCATCAGCACCAGGGCTCGAAGGTGACGACGCAGGGGAGGAAGCAGGACACAGTGAGAGATCAAATCCGGCAAGTCGTAACGAATCTGGAGGAAGTGTTGGGGGGTTTGAAGCAAGTTCACGTGGAGATGAAAGAGGTAGGAGGATCAATAATTAAAGATATTTGATTCTAAGGCGCACATCAGGTGTGGAGTCTGCACCAGATGCCTCAGCCTGTTATCAGTTTCCACCAGGAGGTTGTGACATTTGAAACGGTTATCACAAAACTCTGCTATGCAGAGCAGCTTCGCACGGCTCATTTATCTGTTGATTGGAGGACGTGCGTGTGTGTGTGTGTGTGTGTGTGTCCACACGATGACTGCATTGTTTGCAATGGGAGAAGTGATAGAGGATGATTTGCTCTGACCTTTTGCAGGGTGCTGCTTTAGCTGGCAGCGCTGTGACCAACAAGTTATAAAGCATCACACTGTTACCAAATTGTGTGTCACCATTACAGCATTCACTTTGAATGCAGATGAAAATGACCATTGTTTCACGGATGAGTGCCTCTCTGGATAGTGATGCACCGTTATGATTAAAAGTCTCAGTGGTTGGTAGCTGAAACAGTGGAGATTTAATTTAAGTGCCTGGTTGGTTCAGCCATTAGTGAAATCTAGTTAAAAATTAACTTTGACAACAGTGAAAGTACATTAATATGTCATCGCAAACAGAAAATGAAGACAGAAAAAACTCCTACAATTAAATAGGATTATGAATCGTAGCATTTAACCTTCAAATATTTTATTTGGTGTACATTTCTTATTTTTTTCAGTTTATTTAATTAAAGCCCCATTAGTTGTCAAAGACACTGATGTGTGTGCAAAATTTGTTCTCCGCCTTTGACCCATCCCCTGGGGGAGCAGTGAGCTGCAGACACAGCCGCGCTCGGGAACCATTTGGTGGTTTAACCCCCCAATCCAACCCCTTAATGCTGAGTGTCAACCAGGGAGGCATTGGGTCCCATTTTTCAAAGACTTTGGTATGACCTGATAAGGAATCAAACCTTGATCCCCCAGTCTCAGAGTGGACACTCGACCACTAGGCCACTGAGCTTAGGATAAGTAAGATATACATAAACAATCAGTGGGTAAAAAGTAAGAAAATTATGTTTTTTCTTAAAGGTGTGGGACTCTTGTTTAATCAATACATTTGCAATGGTCTCTAGTAGGAACAAATGCCTTGTAAGTCATACTTGGGGGACAAAAAACACTGACGCGCCCTTTCCAGGAACTAGAAGTGAGCCACATCACAGCTGAGCTTCAGACGGCAGGATATGGAGTAATTTATATTTGGACATCTCCACAAATAACACAAGCATGGAAGAGTTGCTAATGCTAATAGTTAGCTTCTACTAGTCGAGACATTCTCTGCCGTTTCCTGGATGCTAAACCAACAACAGCCTTCCCTGTCCCTAGTCAAGGTGGGTGAGTCCATGAAAGTTAATTGACAGTGTGAAGTAGATCTGTCAGGCTTTTCAAATCCTAGAATTTCACCGTCTATTTTCTATCAGAAGCTAATACAGGAGATAGGTGTAGGAGACTATTTTCATGTTCAGCCTGCATGAAAATCTCAAAGTGACGGATTATAAATCAGAAAAATCAGGTCTGCGAATAATAAATCTAAATTGAACAAATTAAAATTTTGCATCACAAGAAGCCAACAAGTTTTCAGAAAGATAATAAGAATTATTTTTTTCATTTTAGACTAGATGAGCTGGATGTTTGTTGTTGTTTTGTACAGTGGTTATCTAGCTGGAAAATAAAGGTCAACTGGTAAATATATATGGGTCAGGAGCAGGAAAACACTAGAATTCTGTATTAATTTTTGTCACGTATAAAAAATAAATTGTGAATATGATTTCAAGCAGGGTCAAGCAGGTTAATGCTAGCTGCCAGACCCGCCCTTTGTCTGTTCTACACAGATAAATGAGTTTGGATACTCAAAGGCAAAGAGCACCAAGAGGGGTGGGACTAGCCAGCTCAAAAATAAGCAATAACAAAAAAGGCAGAACTGATGACTGTATCGCACAAAGCTGTAGTTTTTAGGCTGTAGTCTAAGATGGCGTCTGTCGATGGCGCAAACATCTTTCTTTAGAAGAAAGGCTTTACCACTTCTCCTTGCAGTTTTTAAGACATGTCCAAGTAATTTAGAACAGAGGAAAGAACTACCCCAAACTCCACTTCAGACACCATCTTTGTTGTTCATGAGAAACTGAGCGTTGCGGTGTGTGACGTATGGTTAGAATTCTTATTGGGGTGGAGTTACTTGAATGGGACTGTTACCAGACCCTTTGCTTCCAATAAGGAATCTTTGGCATGGCTGGCTAGGCTAGGTTAATGTATCCAAGTTCATTATTAGACTAAAAGAATGTAATATCATCTTCAAAGGAAATTTACAGTAAATTCTTATTAAGTTGCTTAGAAAATGTGTAAAAAAGAAAAAGAAGCAAAATAGATTTAAAATCAGCATTACATTTTGTAATAAGAGTAACTTTGCTTTTTTATTTTAAGGAAAATTTCAATTAAATATGGATGAATGATTACATGCAAAATTTAAAAGAATGAGAAAATTCTTCACATTTTCATTTGAGTGTACAACTAAATGCTCTGTCTCTTCCATAACCCTTTGCACGCGGTTTTAGCTACATTTAACTGTTTAACTTCAGAAAGACATTGCATATTAACAAAACTCACCTAATGGTTTTATTAATTATTAGGGATGCTTGATGTTTTTTTTACCGTTATCCAATATGCTGATATTGCAGACTCTTAATATTTAATACCGTATGAACGTACGCCATCCTGGCAGCGTGTAGTTTGCAGATAGACGACTAAAACAACGTACATTCACTACACAGGGCAAATTTCTACTTCACAATTTGTGCCAAAAAAACAAAAACATTTCAAAAAGAGAAGTAGCTGAAGAGTTTGGTGTATAATATGTGTATCGTATATAAAACTTGTGTCATTAAAAGACTGAAAACTTTAATTTTCAATATTAAATTTCATGCCCAAATCGGCCGATATCAACAGTAGACTGATAATATCGAACAACCCTATTAATTACTGATTTTACTCACCAAGGAAACACTTGGATTTAGTGCTTGGACAAATGCTTTTAGTTTAGCGTGATGTCACAGCCCTTTGTGGCCCACTACATGAATGCAGTAAAGGATATGTGCTCCGGTTTGATTGATCGATTTGACCCTGGTGTAAAAACCTACTGAAAGTAGATTTAAACGTGACCTCTAGCTGTACTGCAGTTTGTAGCATTCACCCTCTCTATTATCATTCAGGTGGTTGAGCAGATTGATCGCCTCACAGCAAATATCGACCTCAGCAAGGAGGAGGCGGCATGCATCACCAATGGGTCAACCAATGACGTTCATGACTGGAGCTGGAGTCATCAAGGGGACTTCAGGGTGGCCCCTTTCGTCTATCACAACCCTGCTTCATTTAAAGGCTCCCAGCTTGCTGAAGAAGGCTGCATCATCCTCAGGACCAACTCTGTCTCCCCGGTCCACATGGCTTCTGTTGTCAAAACCAGCCGTGTCACCCCATCCGGTCTCCATAATGACGTCAACCACAAGAAACCGAGTGTGAATGGCCACCCGCCTCATCTTTGCTCCACAGGAGAGCCGGACCACACCAGTTATATTCGTCCACGAACCCTGGACCCAAAAGTCATCATAGGGAACAGCACTTCCAGTTCAAGAACTCAAAAACCTCCACCTTACCCCCAAAATGGCCGGTGTGGGAAGGGCCAAAACCTGCCGCACAAACCTGTGAGAACCCCTGCCTACCCTGTGAGAGGACGCCAGAGTACCAGCATGGTGTGAAGGAGGTGGGGGGGTGTCGTACCCAGTGACAAGGCCCTGCTGCAGAGAGCAGAGCGGAGAGAGCGACCAGGCAGGGGAGCAACTCACAGTAAGTTCCTCCTCCTTTACAGTGTTGATGTTTCTGTCTGGGCTTGCAGCCGATGACGTTTGCTCTGTTTACTGGCAGAGAGGGGTTCAAAGTCAGTAAATGAGTAGCAGCGTTCCTCTCTGTGACAAAATGGATGTTTGAAGTTTGTGTGTGTGTAAGTGGGCGGCAGGGGAGGGGAAAAGCGTAATGTCTGCTTTTGTTGATGTCACATGACTTCCCTATCTTCACCACACTGCAAAAAGTGGCAGACTTAGTAAGTGGAGATAAATGTATTTCTCAGTTTTGGTACACATGTGGTAACAATCAGCCAGGAGAGTGGGACTTTTTCACCCACTGATAGAAAATCCCTGTTTTTCTATCATTAAATAGTTAGAGGAATTTCTGAAAAAAGAAAAAGGCGCTGCTAGTTATTACATGTTATGACAGATCAGGAGAAGCAGCTTTAAATTCCACACATTTTAGCTTTTTTAAAACATTTTTTAAATTAGTTCAACCTGTTGAATCAGAAAGGCAGAAAGCTTCGAAAACGCTCTTTTCCAGTGTAATTTTGAGGAGACTCGGACTTGGCAGGAAGTTAGTTGTTTTTGGCAAAGGGAGACCCCCACAGTTGCAAAACTCAAATCATGTGACACCAAAATAAGCCTCAGCAGATTAAGATGATTACCAGAACGCTGACACGGAGGGAACGGTATTTGCTCAAGAATTAAAAAATGTAGCTTTAACAACTGCAGGGATGAAAATTTTAACATAATTGGACGAGTCCACCTTCTTTGATGCTGCAGAGTCAGAGGTGCATGTTTCTGTACTTCCCTCTTGTGAAGAACGTCTGTAACTGCAATCTGTTTTTCTGTCTTCTTCAAATTTGTGAGCCAAGCCTGGCTTCAATCACAAAACTCCTTTACCACATGTGCCAGACCAGAGCAAAGTCAAGCTCCTGTTTTATTTGGGATGCCCATAAAAACACGATTAGTGCTGCTCAGAAAAGATTTTCACACCTTCAAGGTTGCGGCTTCAAGTCGAGACTCAGGTCGACAAAGTGGCTGTGCACTTGGGGAAAAAAATTAAATTGAATGACATAAGAGTAAGTGCTTTTATTTTATGTCGTCCTTTCAGAATCTTTAAAGCTTTCATGCTGCTGGCATTTTTAAAAGACTGAATCATCCGAATTAGTCACCTAGAGCGGGTTCAATGTTAGAATGATGGCAGAAGATATTGCTAAGCAACCTGGCCACACACAGTGAGTTGTCTCAGTCCTTTTGTTGGGCTTAAAAAAGAATTTCCATTAGAGCCTTTTCAATGGTTACAAGTCTTTATGGGGCGACTGTAATGTAAATTACATCAAAGAGAAATAAGACAAAAATAAATGAGGATGTGATGCACCTTTTAACATTATAGATGTAGAATCACAGGAACAGCAGAGCTGTGGGCCAGTGTGGACTATTTTCTTTGATGCTGCTTTACATTTAAGGTAAAAGTGAACAGTTTCCTGCTCCTTCACCCTACTGGTTGAAAGTGGAATTACAACCATCATAAACAATCCTGCTGCTCTGACAACAAGCTAACACTAACATGAGCCAACTAATACTGAAATAAACCACCAAGTTAAAAGATCCACGCTGATGGACAAAAAATATTAATACTTACAATTTCAGTAGCAATAAAGACAGGTCACCATCAGTCTGTGGATTTGTAGCCTCCTTTAGCTCCCTCACGCTAGCGTAGGCCTCGCGGATTCTGGTTTTAGCACTTTGCTTTGCCTCCCAAGACATCACTCTCTTGCTTTTACTTCCAGGCTCCGCCATGATGCAAACAGAAAAAGCAAACTTCTTTTACTTGTGCATTTTATTGACTATTGGTGAACTGGAAATAATAACCGCTAGCATTACAGCTAACAGCCATAAAGCAGGTAAAGAGCACCCCATACAGCACACCTACCTGATCCATAAAACCATCTAGTGCAGTTTTTGGTCAGCAAAGGGCTGCAGAGTGATGTCAAATATGAAACTAGTCAAGTTTGTTATCAAACAATCTGAGATCAATGTTAAAGCTCCAGATTAAACTATATATTGTTACTTTAAAAGAAAGGAAGAAGAGAAAAGCTACTGTGCAATTAAAGTAAGATTTTTGCCATTTTTGGAATGCACTTTTGTGTAGTAATAATAAATAAATACCAGATAGTGAACACAAACATTCACACTGCTATCAAAACCCTATGTTTTTTTTTTGACATGTTAGAAACTCCCTGTTGGATCTCTCCAAGCCTGACTTTGAGATGAGTGCTCTGGAACTACACTGCAAAAACTGATTTGTAAAGGTAGTTTTTGAAGAGCTCTACTCAGCCTGAAACAGCTCTGTACAGCGTGGTTTAAGTTGGCCCATCTGAGTGTAGTTTTGTTTCCATGCCACCTCCATGACATAAAGTCTTAGAAAAACCAGTTTAAGAAAGTAAAAAGCTTTCATTTTTAGACATTTTATTATATTTTTAGTCTAAAAGAAAATATATCTTCTCTAGAAAAATAGCATTATTTAAAATAAGATAAAAATTCTTGAATGTGATCCAATTTTTATTGTTTTCAGTAAATAATCTGCCAATGGGGTAAACAAAAGTTGCTTGGCTAGATACAAATAAAATTAGCAAAATAACCTCAATTTTGATTTATTTGACAGTTTTGAGATTTCTAGCCAAGCAAATTTTGCTTATCCATTGGCAGATTTTTTTTCTACTCAAAACAAGAACATTTGTGTCACATTTAAGAATGTTTCCCTTATTTTAAGTAATGCTATTTTTCTAGAGAAGACTTTTTCACTTCCTTAAAAGTCAGTTTTGCAGTGATAAAGGTATAAAACTTCCTGTGGTCGGAAGAAAAACAGAAACTGCAGATACAAAGAAAAAAATAAACCCTTTCGACAACCTTACAATACTGACTCATAAGCCAGACAACATGACTCACAAGGACACACAATGTCTCACCTTCAGTACAGGGTTAGTGAGACAAAACTTAAAAAGAAGCAGCTTGTCTGCACTTTTTCCATTAAGGAGTCTGAGCTGCTGTTGAGATCCTGATTTAAATGATTCATTCTCCTTTTATTTCCCCCTGTCATGTTTCCAGCAGGAGCTGATGCCACTGAGACGAGCGCTCAGCTGGTGGAAACAGATCACGGCCTGAAGGTGGGGATATTTCCAAAGAGAAAAAACTCCCCCAAGCGTTGACCTGCAGCTGCTTTCTCACAGGAACGCGGACGTGTGAAGAAGAATTCAAAGCTGGATACTTTAGTAATTTATAAAGAAATAATAAACCGCAAACTGTTACTCAGCAACCAACAACCTAAAGACGTATTTTCATGCCAAATTTATTTATTTTTTCCTGTTTTCATCTAAATTATATATTTGTAGGCATTTAAAAAAATCTAAGATTTTATCCTAACAGCTGTAATATATTTTTATATAAACTGTTTATATTCCTTTATAACAATGTTGTTCCAATAAATAATTGCATTATCATGAATGCTGTTGCACTTTCTCACATACCGGTAAGTCCAGCTGGCTTCTCAGTGATCCAATCCATGAAATGCTTCATGGATTATTGAATAACTTGCGTGAAACAGAATAAAGAAATCCCACCAGCATTTCATCACACTTGAGTCTGGAGCGTTATTAGATGCAAGGCTTCCTCAGCTGATCTGGAGGCAATGGTGTGTGGTCTCCCTCTGCTGTTGTGTCCAAGGCCAGCCAGACCAGAGTCTGCCTCACTGTTTGTTTAAATCTTGTCTGAGAATTTCACCACTTTCTTCTCATCAACATCTGCAGCTGTCGGAGCCAAAATCACTATTTTTTTTTGTTGTTGCAAAGAATCCCTTCCTTCCTTTTTGAAATGAGTCTAATAGACACAATCTCTCTGCAGTTGAGATTTGTGGTTAACTGTGTGAAAGATGTTACAGCTGGTTGATGAACAAGCAAATGCATTATATTGTTACCAGGTTGAGTAAAGAAAAAAATGACTTTTAAAACATAGAAAACTGAATTGATCTGCAGAATATTTTATTTCATAAATCCCTAATAGAAATAGAAATAAAGTGCTCATCAGTTACATTTGTTTTATGTGCATAACTATTACAATTATTTTTGTGCACTTCATCTTGTTTAAAGCTTCAAAGCTTTATGATCATATGTCAGATAATATATTAGAAATTCAAACCAAGATCAACACTTGTAAACATTTCTTTCATTAAAAAAGGAAAGAAAAGAACAAGCGCATGGATATTTTCATTGCTAGATGAATCAGTGATTCTTCAGTTTGATTTTTCTTTGCGTTTTAGGCTCCAGATGGGAAAATTTCTCAAAGATAAACAACTCTAGCAGTCTTTGTCTGAGATGTGGCCATAACAGTTAGGTGCTAATTGGGTCAAGAGGCCTAAGAAAACATGGAGGCAAGTAGAGAAAGAGACATTTGCAAATTTCACATGATGAATTAGGCGATGAAATCATCTGATGGCAGCACTTTGTGGGTTAGCATGTATTATGTGATGAAAACAGAAGTTGCAGGTGGTCACTATATCTGTGGATCTCTTCCATTTCAGTCTGGTTCTTTTCTGATGGTGATAAAGAAAGAGTTTTCAAGACAAACCTACTGTTCATGTTTGTGTCACAATTTGAAATAAAGATGCATGAAGTTTCCCCTTCCACTTTCCTATCAGGTGACTCCGCCAGGACAGGGGGTGGCTAAACAGGGTTTAAAGTTTATGCCTTGGCAGGGGTGAAGTGGTGCACCCCTTAAAAATTATTAAAATAAAAAATTAAAATACGCCAGAGTTCCATCTGACCCTATTAACAATGCGGGAGGGTTAAAGGGGAACTGGGCAGTTTAGGCTTGCTTTTAGCACCCCCTAGTGTCTGTTTGTAGAACAAAATATCTCCTTACTGTGCATTTTTAACACTTTATTCTAACAGCTGAAATGTCTCCTCAGCCTTCCTTAGTGTCTACAAGAGTGATTAACCACTAAATTAAGCAAATCAGCTGTGTTCACGAAACAAGCAGGAAAGGTGCTGGAACCAGACTGCAGCGCCAGGTATGTCAGCTCAATTATTTTTCCAACAGAGCAGCCCACCAGTTTGAAGTTGCAAGTGGAATCTTCTGGCCACAGGGGGCGATTGGGGCTGGGTGGCCATTCATTAACCCTGTAAAGGGTCATTTTAGCACATACTGGCTCAAGAAAATAATTAAAAAATATGAAACATGTGAAACGTTGCTAAGTTTCCCTTTAAATGTAAGATGATGAGTAAAATAGCATAAGAACTCCTTGTTTTGAGACTTCATTATGCTTGAAAAACACCACTGTATGCAGATGCACTGGAACACATGATCAGTGATGTGACCTGGGGTCATTGGGTAATTCGGGCCATTTCAGACATCAGACACCATCGCCCAGGTGACCCGACCTGGGTTGACCAGAACCCAGCTCACGTCCATGAATCAGCACTCTTTATCCATCTCATGGCATTTTCTGACTTCAGATGCAGATCTAACAGCTTTCCTTGCCTCCCTGGTGAGGCCCAGCAGTGTCAACACTTTACAGAGTGACTGTTCTGCAGTTGCTTGCTAGCCCACCTCCAGAGGTTCACAGTACACTCCTGGTACTTGGCACGCTTCCTCTCGTTGGCCTCCTCCATGCAGTCTTCTCAGAGTACTGCAAGCCCCACAATGTGACGTGCAGTTGACTGAAGCATTTCACTATCAATTTTTTATCTGCAGCTAATGAAGGAAATAGGGTTAGGAGACTTTTTCACGTTCATTCTGAATGTTAAAGTAACACAGAGCAGTTTCGTGGAATTTTGTGGAAAAGTGGAAAACAGCTGTCATAAACAACCCTGCTGCAGCCTGCTGTAGCCACACAAACAACAAGCTAACACTAACACGAGCCAACAAACGCTAAAATCAACCACAGAGTAAAAAGATCCACACTGTTTGACAAAAAATATTACTTACAACTCCAGCAGCAACAAAGCCAGGTTACCCAGTCTGTGATTTTGTGGCCTGTTTTAGCTCCTCAAACTAGCGTAAGCCGCTCCGATGTTCATTCTGGTTTTAGCTCTTTGCTTCACCTCCAAAGACATTTGCAGCTGTGGCCCCCAGACTCTGGACCTCTCTCCCCCTGAGCCTGAGATCAGTGAACTCAGTGGTCTCCTTTAAAAAGCAGCTGAAAACTCACCTGTTCAGGCTGGCTTTTGCATGACTTTCATCACCACCCTCTCCTTATTCAGCTCTTTCTACCAACTCCGTCTGTCCCTGGATCCACTGATTTCCCCTCTTTCTCTCACTTTTCTTACATTTTTAATCACAATTCTCCCCCCCCCCCCCCCCCCCCCCCCCATTGAAACATCTTTTTAATCATTAAAAAAATATTTTTTATATTTCAATTTGATGATTGACTTTTATCTTGAGGTGCTATATAAAAGATTGTTTTCTTTCTTTCTTAAAATTTTGATTGTTCCATTTCCGAAAATAAAATGAAACCGAGTGTTTGAAAAGGAGACGAGGAACCTAAACATGTACTGTCAAGAATAATAAAACCTCAATACCACCCACATCACCATGCCACCCAGAAGCAGAATTCATCATCAGTCAAAGATGACTCCCATGTTTTGTCTCAGAGATGGATCTAGTGTTCCTGCTGACCCCGCACAAGGAAGCTCCTCAGATCTTCACCGGTTTTTAGCTGACCCCAGATCTGTCCCTGATCTCAGCAGGATGGCAGAAGCGCTGAGGAATGTCTCTGCTTTGTGCCTAAACCAACCTACCAAGATGTGTTCCTTAGTCCAAACGTGTTTTCACCAACCCACCCCGCTTTGTTGAAATACGACCCACAAATACCAAACCCTGCCCTTCGTGACCTCTCAAAATGCTGCTGTCTGACAAGCACGTACACCCAAACACAAAAAAGCGTCTCCTTGCCAGATTTCAGCAAACCTGCTCCACCCTCACCTCACCTGTGTGCTTACTAGTTTTTATGTTCCATTGTTAAATAAAACATGCCGGTTTTCCATTTGTCTTTGTCTGCACCTATCTGTGCTTGTTTAAGGCTAAAGGAACTGTCCAGATGTTGATGTGAAGCTCCACAGCTGAGCAAACACTTACTCTCTTCTCTGCAGCGTGTTCAAAATGACATATCGGGTTGAAAAGGAGAAAACCATTTAATCTAATCATTCTTGTTATGGTTTTGTCATTAAAACGGCTAACTGAGTATGAAGGATGCTTCCTTCTTACACTAAAGATTTATTTCAGTATTTGAACATTCATGATGTATAGCATCAAAAATATGCCAGATAATTAGAAAAATAAACATTTTATATACTAACAATATGGCTCCAGGTGGTAGTTTCTGTCTTTGAGTAATAATTATTTCAGTTCAGGTGTTAATTTATGCAAATCGTGAGAGGAAACATGAATTAAGAAGACAGAAACTTCATTTAAATGAGTGATAAATGATCATTTACTACTAGTACTCACTATTAAGGCTTTTATTCTCATGTTCTAGAATCCCTGAAACAAAAAGACAAGCTGCTAGTTTTTGCCTGACAGTATTTCTGATAAAGTTACATCATTAGGAAAATATATTTGAGCACATTTTTCTTTCGTGTAAAAGCAAAAGCTTGTCCCAGAATTTCATTTGGCAACTCAGCTGATGGTAGAAATACTGATAAAATATATGTTTAATTTAAATTTGAGAGAAACCTGAGGATAAAAAATAACAATTGTGTGCAGATTTTCTGCCTGAATCTAAAGTTCATTTAGATGTTAGTAAGCTATGGTCACCAATATGATCCACCAAATTTAACACCAGGTATTTAATCTTTTTCAGAGCCCAACATCCTCTAACTCTAGCCTCTTTGTGTCAAAAAGGTCATGAAATTTAAGGTAAAGGTCAACTTTAATCATATTTTAAATGCATGTGGTCTCTAGTAAAGGAATAAATGCCCTGTAAGTTATCCCCTGGGGAAACAAAGCTCCGGTGCACTCTTTTTGAGGATGTAGAAGTCAGCTGGAGAAGGTAGCTTCAGACGACAGGATTTGGAGTCTTATTTCCTGATATCCTGACATTTCTCCTCTGATTGGCTAACACGACTATCACCGACTCCATTTGCTTTTCAACATTGATGTTTGATCTCCACAAATAACTCAAGCCTGGAGGAGTTCAGCTGTGTGGTGGAGTTTCTAATGCTAACAGTTAGCGTCATCTAGCCGAGGCAATCTCCGCTGTTTCTTGGACACTAAAACAACAACAGCCTTTTCTGTCATGAGCCAAGATGGGTGAGTGTATGAAAGTTAAGTGACAGTGTGATGTAGATCTGTCAGGATCTATTTTCAATCAGAAGCTAATGCAGGAGATAGGAGTAGAAAACTTTTTCACGTTCAGCCTGCATGAAAAACTCAGAGGGATAGATTATTTTCAAAAATAATAAGTAAAAGAACATTTTTTTAGTGAATCTGCTGTTATCTCGCCAAGTCGACCTCACAGAGAAGATAGCATGGCTGCAGACTATTTATTTGTCCATAGATGTAGATCCTCAGTTAAAAAAATCAGATGCTTAAAGAGTCACTGTCTGTAAATATTATCTCTAGAAGTCCAAGACAGATGGAAACGAAGTCTGCTAAATCCCAGCGAGGGGGAATTTTCCAGACATTTTTAAAAACATACACAATCTATTCTGGCAGGGAGGCACAATGACCACTTCCAAACTATTTCAGTAGTGTTAAAACGCCCTGCTTCGCTGGTTTACAATGCCAAATCAGGCCTCTTTTTGTTATAAATACACAGCATCTGTACAGCATATACAGCATGTATCTTTACCAGCATATACACCGTCTGCTGCATGTTTTCCAGGATGTCATTCAAGCCCACTTCATGTTGCATTCAGGTTGTTGGAAACTGGGATTTTTTTCAGTTCAGTTGTTGGATTTTTCCATTTTCTAACAATGTTAATGCAAATGTTACACATTTAGCAAAACTCAAAAAAATGAAAATCTTTTCCAGAATTTATTGTTTTAGGTCAGGAATTTGAAGGTCACCATATTCTCTGATGTATCTGAAATTCCAAAAACCTATTCCTCAGAAAAGAAGTGAAACATCTTCAAGGAACCAAATGAGTCCAGTTGTCCTTATTCAAAACTCCAACAAGTGAAAATCAAGCCGTTGAAAGTATTAGACCCTGAAAATGAACAGAAAAATACATAAATTGAAGTATGTGAATTCAAACCTTAGAATGTATGGCCAGTTTTCTTGCTTCTAGCAGATTTTTCTCCAATTTAACTACTTTTTCCATCACAGAGATAAAATCATTTTCTTAATTCTCATGTTTTATTCATAAAATACTTTAAATAAATAATAAATAAATGTAAATTATGTTCACAGTACCTTGAAATTCGACAGTTTCGTGTCTGAACATAAAGCCCCGTGTAGGTGATTTCACATTTAACAATGTTGTTTGTGAAATCAGATTCCAGGATGAGGAAATTGGGATTAACTGTGATCTAAAATGAAGATAACATAATAAAACAAAAAGGTCCCATCACCTCTGCAGGTAGTTTAGTATGAAACAGATTCCATCAACACAGCAATCAAACAAATCACGAGTCACCTTTAAGATGTAGTTTCCTGGAGGAACGTCGGTGATGTCGATCCACTGACAGTCGATGTTGGCAGCATAAGTGTCATGGCAACCAGGGCTCAGGCCCTAAAAACACAAACCAATCCACTCAGTTTTCCGTAAAACAAGATTTTTGGACCGCTTTCAACTTTCCTAAATGTGTTTCAAATGAAGGATTTAGTTTTAAATCGTACAAACAGTCCTTGGAAAGAAAATTGTTGTGAGAAACCAGCATTAACACAACTCACATGGCCCTGATACAACAAAGTCCTCCAGCAAATGTTCCCTTTACACTGGTGCACATCCAAGGTTTTAATTAGAAAAACACTTTCTAAGATATAACATTAAAGTCCTCGGTCTACGATCTGCTCATTTGATTCATTCAATTGATTCAATGTGATAATAAAGTTTGAATGTTTTGTGTGATGGCCTTAGCATTACTGGATGCTGCTGCTTCTGGCAGAGTGACTGGGTAAACTGGAACATCAAACCAAGTTTGATTGAAAAGACCCAATCTTCAACTCTGCTGTATAAATAATATTTGGGTTAAATTGTATTGAAGTATCCTCGTGTTTTTTGAACGTATTCAGTTTTTTATTTGAGTTCACTGTGTCCTCTGATAATACATGACTAAGATTTTCTACCAGATATGGAGCTAAATCTTTTTATTCATAGGTTTGTATTTGAACCCTCCCACTGTCTTCATGGGTGACCCTGCAAAGAAAGTTGACCATAGAGCACTGTGCTGTGCACTCTCCTGAGGGAGAAATGTAAGGATAGTGAGCATTTTAAAGTTGAAATGGAGGACATAGGTAGGGCTACCAGGACAGTTAGTGTAAACAAGAGCCGAGGACCAGATGACATTTGTGGCCGCGTACTTAAATTCTGTGCATGCCAGCTGACAGCCATACTGCACCACATTTTTTATGAATCTTTACGGTTACAAAAGGTCCCTAAACTATGGAAGGATGTAGAAATTGTACCGATTCCTAAAGTGAGACATCCAGGAATTTTAAACGATTTCCGCCGAGGTTGGGTCGCAGTGGCAACAGTCTGAGTAGAGAGGTCCAGACTTCCCTCTCCTCAGCCACTTGGGCCAGCTCTTCCGGGGGAATCCCAAGGCGTTCCCTGGCCAGCTGAGAGACATAGTCCCTCCAGCGTGTCCTGGGTCTACCTTTAGGTCTCCTCTCGGTTGGACATATCTGAAAAACCTGACCAGGGAGGCATCCAGAAGGCATCCTGACCAGATGCCCGAGCCACCTCAACTGGCTTCTCTTGATATGCAGGAGCAGCAGATCTACTCTGAGTCCCTCCCAGATGACAGAGCTTCTCACTCTATCTCTAAGCTCATGACCACATGAGGGTAGGGACGTAGATCGACTGGTAAATCTAGAGCTTCGCCTTCCGGCTCAGCTTTCTTCACCACAACAGACCAGTACAACGCCCACATCACTGCAGACGCAGCACCAATCCACCTATCGATCTCCTGATCCTTCTTTCCCTCACTCGTGAAGAAGACCCCATAATACTTAAACATGTCCTCTTGAGGCAGGCCCTCATCCCTGACCTGGGAAGGTATCACATTGTATCATAATGCATCGAGAAACTCATAAACAAATCTTTTTCCTTGTTTTCATTTTTACTCTCATAACAGGATTAAAAGGAGCAGCAATTCTTCCAATTCAGACATTAGTGGCTGACAGACTAAAGGACACATCTCTGAAAATCACCTGAGTATGAGATGTGCAGGCATAGCGCCGTCTGAATCCATGATCACAGCCTGTGTCCTCGAGACAGAAACTGGCCTTATGTCCCTCAGCTACTTTACGTCCTGTTACGATGTCCAGCAGATCGTAGTTACTGAAGGCGTCCATGCTGTGGTAGTGCCTGAGGGGTGAAATGGATCAGCTTAGCCTAAAGAAGGACTTCATTTGTTGTTTTTCCTCTGTTTTGAGGGTAAGATCAGACCTGAGCTGTACGAACCCCAAGAAAGTATAAACACATTGTTGTGATTTATTTTCATTTTATTATTGAACAAGCTTACTGGTGACAGCTGTGCCAGTCCCACTGGTATCTGGGCTTGACAGGGAGGAAGTCTGCGGTTCCTTGGTTCTTCACTTTCTGTGGGAATCGCAGGAGGACTCTGAAATCAATGTCCCGTATGGTGGGTGCGTAAGCTGACCTTGGATGGATCAGAGGGGAAACGGGGATAAAAAGTGCTGGAAAGGGTTGCTGGATAAACTCCCAGGGCAAGTTTTCATGAAACGTATCAAAGCACAAAATGTTTTATTCCACTAAAGCTTAATGCTTTTGAGAAACCCAACCCAGAACATTTATGTCTTGGCAAGACAAGATGTTGGCAAGTCACTGCTCCATAGGAAGATCAAACTGTAAAAACCAAATAATTATCTCAACACTTTGACAACTTTAACTCCTACAAATAGGAGAAACCTTAAAATAACCTAAAGCAAATCTCACTGAAGGGAAAGTAATGGAAAGTCTCATGTATGAGCACAGGTGTGTGTGGCCTATGTGCTGCGGTGCATGTATTCATACCTGGCCAAACAGTTTTCTTCTGCAGCACAGCGGAGGGCATACATCTGCATGCGTTGGATGTAAGCACCTGCCTGGATGGCATACGGGTCTGGGAGGAGGTCTGGCAGTCCTGAGGGAGAATAACAATCCAGTTTGACCTGAGATATTTCAGGGTTTCCACGATGAAACCAGTGCAATCAAATATAATTTTACTAAGCTTGACAATTTACTGAGTTAGGCATAGCTTACTGTGCTTTACATTCTCTAATTTATGATTCTGCCATTGAATTATGGATCCAAGCATTTTAAACTATTGTTATAAATCCAAAATGTTCTCATGTGAGAAGCTGTGGAGAGTAGATTATTCAACCAGATTACTGAAAATGAATTTTATTCTGACATGTGCACCAACTGGACTATTGTGTTACCATAGAAACCATTTAAATCCACATTAATGGATACGACTCATGAACCTTCTGGACCCTAGGGATCTAAGTATTTCTTAATAGATGCTGCTGGAGTTTTTTTTGTGTTTTTTTTAATGTGTTTTCAGATAGTTCACTTCCATCCTTGAGCCCAAATTTGACACACTTTACAAAGAAAAACTGAAAAATACTCTGAGAACCTGGACATTTACAGAATGCTTATTTAATTTTAAACAAACGATATTCCTCCATCCATCCATTTTCTTCCACTTATCTGGGGTCGGGTCGTGGGGGCAGCAACCTAAGCAGAGAGGCCCAGGCTTCCCTCTCCCCAGCCACTTGGGCCAGCTCCTCCGGGGGAATCCTAAGGCATTCCCTGGCCAGCTGAGAGACGTAGTCCCTCCAGCGTGTCCTGGGTCTCCCTTCAGGTCTCCTCCTGTTTGGATGTGCCCAAAAACCCTCACCAGGGAGGCGTCCAAAAGGCATCCTGACGAGATGCCCGATCCACCTCAACTGGCTCCTCTCGACATAGAGGAGCAGCGGATCTACTCCGAGCCCCTCCCAGATGACAGAGCTTCTCCCCCATCTCTATGGGAGAGCTTAGACAGCCTTCGGCTGCTTGTATCCGTGATCTCGTTCTTTTGGTTACTACCCAAAGCTCATGACCATGTGAGGATAGGAACATAGATCAACCGGTAATTCAAGAGCTTCGCCTGAGCTTATAGCTCAGCTCTCTCTTCACCATAACAGACCAGCACGATGCCTGCATCACTGCAGATGCAGCACCAATCTATCTATTGATCTCTCCGTCTTTCCTTCACTCATGAACAAGACCTCAAGATACCTAAACTCCTCCCTTTTCGACAGGACCTCATCTCTGACCTGGAGATGGCATTCTACCCATTTCTGACATAACACCATGGTCAATATAAATAAAATGACCATAAAATATCTGCGGAAAGTCAAAATGCAAAATTAATTAATTTTTTTTGACATTTCCACATTTAGCCTTTTATGTAACATACTTTCCCTTAGCTTCCTGGTTCATTAGACACCAGTAGCCTCATCAGCCATTTAGCCCAGCTGTGTGTAATCCAGCAGTCACATCCTGCATGGATGGTCCTCATTTTTAAAACTACAGTCACGTTTACTTTCTTCTCTTGTACTTAAGTTTCACTGTGATTGGTGTGACTTTTTGCTCTGCTTTGATTTTTACTCACCCCCTAGCCAGCAGTAGAATTAACATAAATGTCTATTTATTTATTTAACCAGGAAGGTCCCATTGAGATTGAAAACCTAATAGTCAAGGGAATCCTGGCAAAGAGGCAGCAAAAGTTACAGTTACAATTTTTTCTGTTGCTCAGACATGTACAAAATTACAAAAGGCAGTTACAACCCAGGGAATCCATCTCAAGGACACTCAGTCTGGTTTTAAATGTATTCAAGGAGAAAAATCAGTTAATTTCCAGTTTTCCTGCAGCCTGTTCCATGCAGAAGGAGCAGAGTGAAGCCCTTCAAACATTCCTGAACTACTTATTGCTACTTAACAGTAAAAAAAAAATAAAAGATCATTTTGTTATCTTCTCACCAAGAAAGAAAAAAGGTTAAGAAGAAAATATAATTAGTGGATCTGATTAAAATCTGCATAATCATTTCCAGGTGCGTAAATCCCTTTAGTCAGCAGTTACAATTTTCTAACTTAACCTGGCTGATGAGACTGATGAACTCATGAGCTCATCATTTATTCTGGCTAAATTAATTAAGTGAGTAAACTTGAATTACCGTTTTGGAAATAACTTGTGCCAAACCCTGCAGCAGGCAGGCGGTGTGAGCGCGTCACCGATCTTCCTCCGGGATTCATGTTGTAAAAAAGAGAGTTCCCGTGGCTCTTAAACGGAATTCGAGGGTCGTCATTAACCATGTTCTCATCATCTGTAGAAGCATCCAGATTAAATGCAGGAAAGGGAGCTTGAGCGCGTTGCCTGGAGACCAACATCCGCGCCGCCACCGCGCGTAAAGGCTGGTTTTGCGCACCAAGTCCAGATTCATAATCTCTGTTTAAAACAACGCGATACGCAGCTTCCCTCGCGCCCAATACGCTTGTTAAACCCCCTGAAGAAGAGGAGTTTGTGTCTTCAGAACTGGAGCGCACAGATCCTGTTCCATGAGGGCGCACATTCTGCTGTCTGCTCCCCGACGCACCACCATTAACGGGTGCTTGCTGTGTAACATCGCGTCCTGGTGCACCATTACTTGGCTGATCGGCCCTGAAATATCTCCCTTCAGCCTGCCCGGCTCTCCTGTGCGCCCCCAGTTCTTTGTTGGTCGTGCCATCCCTACTACCGCTCACATGGAAATTTGACTGAACCGGAGTGTGGTACTGTGAACCAGTGCTCAATAAGCTGTAGACTTGGCCGTTGTTCTCCCACTGAACGCGGTGCCTCCAGGGGCCAGCTGTGCGCTGCTGCCCATAGATGAAGGGTAGAAGTCCTTGGAGAAAATAAAATAGAAGAGACCGTTTTTCCATGACAATAAACCCTTTACTCAACAATTATTAAGAAATGCGCACAGCGGTGGATGAAGGCGGATGAAAAAGGATGATGCGCGCTCACATCCAACGTGGAACGTGCCAATTGTCAAACAGACTCACGGATGGGAGAGAGGGGAAGGTCGGAGCTCTTTTCTGTCTAATTCTTCAGTCACTTTAATAAAGCTGAAGTTCTTGGAGTAAATTTTAACCCATGCCTTGCCGTGGTCCATCCCATTCACAAGGGAGCGTTTGCTCAGTAAACTTTACGCACAGGTGTGAACTGAAGACAGCCGAACGTTACCAACGAGTCTTAAAAATCGCCGTTAAAAAGTTTTTGAATGAACAATTCCCAGATTTAAAAAAATTAGAAGAAAAATAATTAATAATTGTTTAATTGCTCTATAAACTGAAACATGAAGTTTATTTTATTGGTTTTGAAAACTTAAATAAATATATATTTTCCTAACAAACAAATAACTAAATAAATAAATAAACATCCAAGCATCTGCTCTGATTATGATTGAAATTACCCAAAAAACCTGGTTGGCCTCTTACAGTTTAGAAAGATTTACCACCAGAGGGCGGTATGTGTGTGTGTGTGGGTATTTATGTCGATGGTGTGTGTGCGTGTGTGTGTGTGTGTGTGTGTGTGTGTGTGTGTGTGTGTGTGTGTGTGTGTGTGTGTGTGTGTGTGTGTGTGTGTGTGTGTGTGTATGTGTGTGTGTGTGTGTGTGTGTGTGTATATATATATATATATATATATATATATATATATATATATATATATATATATATATATATGTGTGTGTGTGTGTGTGTGTGTGTGTGTGTGTGTCTCACCCACCCTGCACATGCACAGCTCAGTTTTTAAAGTTCACTAAAGATTTCTGAAATCATGTAATATTTTCCTTTCAGTCATTTCCGGTTTTAATAGAGTGGTGAGACTTTTTGATGTTTTGATAACATTTTAAAAATAAGATAACTTTTCCTAAAATTAGATTTTATTATTTTTTATTTCATTTTTTTATTTTTCTCCCAACAACTTTCTGATAACACTCAATGTCTCTGTGCTTCTTGCATTCTGTTTCGCAAGATTTGTGCTCTAGATTAGTACTAACTTTATTTATATTAAGTTATATTTTTGACAAACATAATAAAACCAGTTTAATGCAGGTCAGTTTTCTGTTAGGGAACAAGCTTGATATGGGTCATAAATAGTTCAAGCACATGGTAGCATTCAGAAGAGGATTCATCTCCCCTCAGAAGAAATATCTCTGAGTGTGCTCCCTCTGCCAAATAGGGCATCAGGATGGTGAGCTGCTCTATTCTTAGACAGAAACCTTCTCTTGTTCCAAGGAGCAGCTCCGCCTCTTCTGTTGTCGGTCCTGATTTATAAGAATCGCAGAGCCTCAGCACTGGTTTGGCACAAGACTTCCTGAGCAGGACATTTAACTCCCATAATAGAACCAGTAAGTATTACGTCTTTATTTGATGTGTGACCTGAAAGTAAGAAGAAATCACAACAAATGTTGCCACAAAAATGACTTTTACTGTAAATTAGGAGAAATAAAGTAAAAATCAGATATTTTGATGGTACACCTGCAGCAGAAGCAGCAGCTCGTTCCCTGAGTGAGGCACTAATTCTTTTACGCTTTGAATGAATCTAGGTACCCAGGGCTGCTCACAACTCTGAGATTTAACGAAGACGATGGTCTTCAAATGGTTTTACTAGAAGAAGCGTCCCCTTACCCCCACATGGAATATACCTGTTGTGTTTCTCTGAGGCCTCAAGCTGCCTTTCTGAGGAGCAAAATTATAAATCCAGTGGGAGACAAGTCAGGTGAGATGCTGCAAGACTGTGACTCATAGTAAGAAACTCAGATGCTTCAGCACCATTTCAGCCAACAATGTAAATAAAGCAGATGTGTTTTGATCTCTAACCTGAGTTTAATATCAATTAATAGCAATTTGACAGCATATCGCAGGGGTTTCTCATGACGTATCACTCATCTCTGACTAACCTTTGGCATTATCAGATCGATCACATTTCGGCTCATAGCGACATGATGCTGCTTCACGTTTGCCTTCACAGACACAGGTTTGTGTCACAACAAGTTCATAATGAAGTAATTTTGTTGAGCTTGTCATGGATAACAAAGATTTTAATTTCCTTTCAGTAAAATTTAAACTAAAGACATCAAGCGACTGGCACAGCTATTTTCTACAATCCTAGAGAATATTCTAATTTGTTTTGATGTTTAAGTTATACATCTTGTCATGGTTGATACTGTGAAGGTTTATAAACCAGAATGAGACACGATCAGAAATTACCTCACACATTTTGTGATTTAGCTCTGGACCAAAATCACACATGGAGATTGGAGCAGAAATGGACATACGGAGTGGTGAATTTGAATATTTCATATCGAATGCTCCTGAGATTTTATATGCTCTTTAAATATAATCTCATATTCCTAAAAACCTGTTTTCAATACAAGTGTCTTTCAAATTTGTTTTGCAAGTTTATCTGATATAGTAGGAAAAAAACATTTTCCTATAGTACCAAAAAATATGGTAAAAATTTCCATGGTTAGTGAAAATGGATGAATGCGCATTTTTTATATAAATCCTTAAGTAACAGACATGAATAGTTGTTATTTTATCATGATTTATTTATTTATTTTTGTTTTAATGGCTTTGTTGGATCCCACAGAGTCAGGAACGTACTGTGACTGTTCTAGCAAAATGATAAAAACTACTGTTTACAGTCACAGTTAGAGCCCACTCGGTGTGACGACTGCTCACATGGTCCGAGGTCCTCGTCCACCCACGCTGGAGCATGTGACACACTCTTATCTCCTGTGTCCTTATATGGATGTCCTGGCTGAGCAAGAGGGGGGTTTCCATGATGGCCTCTCACCTTACTGGGCGGGGTTGGGGAGGGAGTCTGAGTCAGACCGGGACTCGGAGCTTCAAGTGCTGCATTCAGTAATTGGCTGTACATTTGTTAAGTATGTGACACCACAAGCACTTAGCCTAAATTTAGTCCGACACAGCAACAGCTCTCTGCTCCACGCCAACGTTTGGTATCTAAAGACTCCCAGAGATGCATCACAAGACCCTGGAACCCCATGACAAATCCCGGCATGGCCCCCTGGCTGGGCAGTCCACTCTCTCCCCAATTTTCTTTGGTCAATGTGAATTATATAATCAAATACAGGCAGGGAAATGTGTCTGTAAACTATTACTTTAATTTAAATGGGTACTTTATCTTGTGACTAGTGCTGCTAGCCCTGCTTGTAAGAAAGACCAGGGAATTTCCCAGGCTAAATAAGAATGAGGTGAATAAGAAGTGTGAACATGTTTGTTATGACAATCTGTATTTAATTGAGTTTGATGTGTTTTATTTTCTATCTTATTTATCATTCTTTTATAGTTTTGATATTTCTTTATTTGTTTTCTTTAGTGTTTTTCTTTCTTTTTCAATTATCAACAGTTTGCTGACATTTTCTTGAATGTTTTTTTTCTAAATATTAAAACATGAAAAAATCTAATTCTGGTAGGCCATGACTCGTTTCTGTGGACAGTCACTGCACAAGACTTGATGTCTGAGAATATATTAATTTTTATTTTACATAACCAATAATCTCATATTTACCATTAATTGCTCATAAAATAAAAATTTAAAGAGTGTTTGTATGTTATAGACTTTCAGAGACAGCTATGGCAAAACAAAACACGTTTTCAGTTTAGAGAATAAAATATTAATATATAGAGAGGTTGTGTCAATTATGACTCTAAAGAAGAGAATGTGCTTTCAGCTTAGTTCAGAGACCAGCATCATAAAGGGCATCATTCCTGACTCAGTAAGAACTAACTTTTGTTAAGAGAGGAGGTGCTGCTAATTGTTATTAGTATATTAAATATTATAATCATTAAATTAAAATATTAGAGTAACATCAATTTATATTTTAATAATATTTAATTTAATGATTAAATATAAATATGAAAAATAACAATCATTAAATATTAAAATCATATTCTGATGTCAGCATATTAGATGTTGCTGATAAACCTGATATAGAAAAATAATAATTATCACAGACTCAGAATGAATTAATCTCTCTGTGAATTCTCATGTCCACATTTGGACATAAAAAATGGTTCATCCTCATGTCTTTTCTTTGCTATTTCTTTTTGATTAATGTGTTATTTCCTCTTGTGCATTCACTGAACTTCCTCTGGAGCTAATGGGAGCTCCCCAACCAGTTGGTAGAGCATTTCTAAAGTTCCTACATCACACTGAAGCATTGAATGAACTTAACAAGAAAAAAATATAGTAAAACAAGAAAATCTTAAAAATATGGAATTTGTTTAGAGGAAAAATCGTAACATTACATTGCATAATTTTACCTCATTATTATTACAATTAGTTTATTTTTAACATTATTAGTTTACATTAAACTAAAGCCCATCCTCCCCCCACATCAAAAATGCAAAAGTGGAGCGTTTTCATTGCTTATTTCTAGGTGAGGGAGTTAAAGGTTTAAGGAGTTTCACATGTTCAAATCTTGGACAATGGCTGATAAAACAACTTTAAAATGAACTGTTCTCTGTCTTTCTTTCTGCTGTCTTTCATCTGTTGTCTCCTTTGCTGAGAAATATTACTGCAGAGCACTAAATCTGAAGACCTGAGGCACCGCAGGATGTTATCGGCCATCTTTAATCAGATTTCTGCAGTAAAACCTCAGATTTATGACCCTTTAAAGAAAATGTCTGAGTGTTTAATGAATGAAAAAAAAAATACAGGAAGCAGAAGGTGGATTCAGTTGTTTCTTTGAGTTGCGAGACACATGTCTTTTTTGTATTTTTTCCTTCTCAAAGGGCATTTTTTTCACTTTCACATTAGTTCCTGGTGTTAAACACTGGCCGCTCCAGAGGTGTCTTATGATTTTACAAAAGAAAAAGTTACACAGGATTATACAAAACACAACACGTCTGCTGTTCATCCCTAAGTTTCATAATTGTCTATTTACACATCAGGCTCGAAGTACAGATCTGGTGTTACACAAAATTATATTTACAAGTCTATTCACAACCCATCAGCCCATCCTGCTGGAGAGACAGAAGAGGGGAGCAACATTACTCATGTGAGTTATAAATAAAATGTCACTGTTTGATACTGAAGAGAGATTTTTTACCTATAAGCTGTTCAGCAGAGAGTTTTGGACACTTTCAAATACTTTGTTGTAGATGTCGTCCTTCGTCGTCGTCCCATCAAGGTACTCTGGACGAGAAAACGCAAATTACAGTCAGAAATGAAAACTTTGGCTTTATGTCTGAGCAGGAGGAGGGAGAGTAATCTGCAAACAAATGTTGGCTTTGCAGACCTATCCTGCTGCAGTTGTTGTCCATCTCCTTCCTGTGTTTCAGGTACATGGGCCAGACGTGGCCGTCGAACAGGCCTGGGGGATCGGGGACTGTGTATGTTCTTGTACTGCAGGGACAGATTCAGTCAGGTGTTAATGCAGCACATCCTGCTGGAAACTTCAACCTGTGGAAGCTACTCTAACCATTTGTTACCTCCTCCTCCGTTTGCATTCCTCGTAGGGGATGGAAACGTAGAAACACTTGTCGTAGATCTCGATGAGTGGCCTGAAAAAGGAAACCGGAGCTCAGATGAGGGACAGTCTTTAAAAGTCAAGAGGAAGAGGTTAAATAGGGCGGCCTACTTGTAGTTGTAGATGAGGAACCCTTCTACGATAAGAATATGGATCCCATTCTCCTCCGAGTTGGATTCCTCAGCTTCAGGCGACAGGCTGACGCCGTGTGAACGGGCGAACTTGACTGGGTTCTCCTGCCAGCCTTTCACCGTGTTGACCATCGCCTCCATGTCCAGAGCACTGATCACTGTTGCAGGACAGTAAGAGAAAAGAAAAGGACTTTCACCACATGTGGTGCGAACTCTCCTCACCAATGCGCTGTCACACACCAGTCTCTGTTAGTGAATGATTGTAGCATTCACAAAATATGTGATAGAATATCTCAAAAGTTTGGATTGGATGGTTACCAAACTAAAAATGTGCAGGAAAGGAAAAAAGTACATTACTGCAGTGTTTTCCTAAAGGAAATCCACTCTTACCATCCCACTGTCTAAAGCCGTCCTCCCCGACTTCTATTTGATCGGGTTTCTGAAATAACAGTCACCAACAAAACATTGCTGCAACCCTGTAACCAATGTGAGCTGATCACACCTGGACAGGACAAGTCAGGGACCCGTCTCCACCAAAAGTAGGCGCGGTGGCATTTTTTTTTAAATGGAGCAGCACGGTTTCCTTCCATGTGTGAAACTTTAGAATTTGTTCATTTTTCGCTGTAGCTTCCTTTAGCTTTTATTAAACTTTGCAGGCAGGTTCCTGATGCTTGTTTTTTATTGTAAAAAATAAAAATTAAAAACGCGGCACTTCTTGTCTTCTCAAAGCTACGGCACAAGAAAGCACAACTGCAGCACGAGAGGAAGCCATCTTCAAGCTTCTTTTAACCAACAGTTAGTTACGTTGATAGAAAAGAAAAATAAATACTGGTTGCACAATTTGCAACATGATGGAAAAGTCTGACTTTGAGTGGGGACGCTCAGCCCTTTCATTGGCTGTCCAGGAGACAATCAGCCAGGTGATTACAAGGCAGCTGCGATGACAGGACATCTGCAGGTCAGACTGGTGATCTCTTATTTCTTAGCATTTACAAAAAAGCTAAACTGGTAAATTTAAATACATTTAAATGGATTAAAGTACTAGTGTATTAGGAAATAAAAATAAATAAATAAGAAACACTTGATCTTACCTTGAAAAAGTCATCCTGATGTACCACACAACAGTTAGGTAATGTCTTTAGCAGTCTATTTGTCAAAGTGGTCTTCCCACCGTTGGTCACTCTGAATTTAATGTCACATCAAAATGAGTTACAGCTCAAATTCTTGTTCACTTTTATTGACCGTCAGCTAGATAAGGAAGTTAAATAAAACGTACCCTCCAATGCCGATGATAAACTTCATCTTCTTAGCCTTCTGTGTATTGGTCACCTCTGGAATTCAGTAAGCAAAAGCAGGGAACCCAACCAAAGCAACAACCTCGCACCAAAACCTTCTTCTCCACCACGGACGTTCCCTCCTTTTACTACTTCATTGATAGACTATCTGTTTGTTGGGCATATAAAGGATGCGGCTGCAGCGTCACAATCTCTCCAACCAATTGGATTAATTTCCCAGCAGCCAGTGAGCTGCTGCTTCAGAATCAGGTGCACCAATGAAACAAGCTGACTCTCAGGAGCTTCACAGTGGCACGAAAGTAGATCCTGAAATGTTGCACCTGCTGCCAGGGGTCATTCGAACAGAGGCAAACCACATGGGGGGAAAAAGCTAGGTTCTGAGCCGTGAAACACAATAATGGTCACATGGTGTTATTTTAAGTATGAAATGCACTTTCTTATTATCTGGACCTTGTAGATGTTTGTTTCATATTATGTTTTTGTTTTATTACAAGCATGTTTTGTTATTGAGAATTTTAAATCAATACAAAACAGTTTTCGACATATTCCGAGACATGAAAGCAGCACTTTGCTCAGACAGCCTTGGGCAAGTATGAACCAAGAGGACTATATTTAGTCGGCTGCGTCTGGCGGAAGCATCACGCATATTTCTGATGCAACCAGAGCACATGGCTGGCCGCCATGCGAGCACCGTGTCTCGAGTCACAGCTTAAGCTATAATAAAACATTTCTCTGAAACCTGCAGCTTATTATCGAGAGACCTTTCAAGTTTTTTTTCATTCAACTAGAATTTGAGGGAATTCATTTTCAGCCGCCCTTATCTCTGGAATCCTGGTGTGAGCAAGGCGAACGTTGAGTCAGGGCCGTTGGAGCACACGGCGTCACGTTTCACGGTCGGGACAAACTCAGAGTTAAAGAGATGCTTGGTGACAAGAAGTGATAAAAAGCTTTAATTCCAATGCTGCAGTGGGGGTTCACAACTGAAAACTATCATACATTGAGTTAGTCAGATTATCACAAGGCTGCAAATGCAACAAAGGATCACAACAAATTCTTTTGTTTTTTTTACATTTTCTTTAAACATAAAGCATAAAAACTTCAATAAAATATAATATAATGTCACATTTCTTAATATTGTTGGGAGTTAAGCATTTCATTTGTATAGAAGGCATACAATTCTGGATATTTTTGGCTTAAAGTAACAACAGATAGTTTAAAAAAAACTAAGCTACAGCTTTAACATTGATCTCAGTGACCAGTTTCATATTTAACACGTCTCTGCACCGCACTGCTGACCAAAATCACTGGTGACCTAGCTTTGTTGCTACTGGACTTGTAAGTAATAATATTTTTGTGGACCTATTTACTTTGTGGTTTATTTTAGTATTAGTTGGCTCATATTAGTGTTAGCTCTTTGTTAGTGCTAGCTAGGCTGCAACCAGGTTGTTTAGTTGTAATTCCACTTTTAAGAGCTGGAAACTGTTCTGTATTATTCTAAACAACCCATGGAAGATTAACATCTTGGCCACATTTTATTTCCTAAAATTTATTGATTAAACCTGAATAAAAAATAATTGCAAAAAAATAAAAAATAAACAACTGAAAATTATTGAGTGGGTACGTCTCCTGGGGGGCTCTTTACCTGCTTTATGACTGTTAGCTATAATGCTAATAGTTAGAATTTTCAGTAAGTTGAAAATAAAAAACACAAGAAGAAGAAAAAGAAGAAGTTAGCTTTTTGTCTTGGCATCATGGCAGAGCCTGGAAGTAAAAGTAAGAGAGGTGAAACAAAAAGCTAAAACTAGAGTGGCTTGGCCTACACTAGTTTGCGGGGGCTAAAGGAGGCTACAAAATCACGACTGATAGTGACCTAGCGTTGTTGCTACTGGACTTTATGTGGATCTTTTTACTTTGTGGTTTATTTTAGTATTAGTTGGCTCATATTAGTGTTAGATCTTTGTTAGTGCTAGCTTGGCTGCAACAGGGTTGTTTAGTTGTAATTCCACTTTTAAGAGCTGGAAACTGTTCTGTGTAATAACCCATGGAAGATAAACATCTTGACCACATTTTATTTCGTAAATCTTATTGATTAAACCTGAATAAAAAATAACTGCAAAAAATAAAAAATAAAACTGGCATTTTCTAAAAAAACTAAAAAACATGGACATATGTGAATACAAGCTACACAACATATTAGCACTGAATTAAAATGATTGTTATTATTTTTTATTGAAAATTGTTTTTTTCTATTTGAACCCTCATTGTTCCCAAATGAATAAAAAAAGGCTGAAAATGAAAAACATCTTGCTTTTTGCTTGGTGTGGAAGTGAAAGTGTTAAGCGTGTTGTGATAAAATGTTTTACATAATGCTGCTTACTGAAATACAGGGAAGGAGGGTCACATCAAGGGTGTAACGTTTGACACCTGTTTAGAGCAGTCAGCTGATTCAAAGAGCATCAACTGACTCAGCCAGCACACTCACAGATCGTAATTACACCCCTGGACAGTCAGAAACTTTCTCATCACAATAAGAAGTAATAAAAGGGTAAAAATACACTCTTAAGTACGCACAACCAGAACCACCTGTTCTGTTTCAGGAGCCAAGACAGAGTGATGACGAGATTCGTTTTGATTGGCTCTTTCATTTATTTATTTTTACAAACAGTAAATGGCACACTGTCATGAACATTTAACAAATTATTCAAGTTCTTTCTTTAAATAAATATACAACATCTCATATGACAATATACCCTCTTTTGTTTCATAAAAATGTCTTTTGCAGAACTTTAAAAAATGACTAAAACACATTCCAAAGAAGGGAAGGACACCAGGAAGCATGCCAACTGCATATTCATCTGTGAAAATCTTCAAAACTGCAACACATTTTGCATCAGTGACATTTAACATAGGTTTAAGAAGAAGAACATCCATTTTTTTCATGAAATATCCTTAAAACTGAACAAAACTGTTCATGTGCAATCGTGTTTCTTTAAAAATATCTTACAAATACAATGTGTCAAAGTCTCCTAGAAGAATTAGGTTTTCTGTATTTTCTTTTCGTTTAAAATATTTAAGTTCATGCTCTTATGATTCCACTTAGCGGTACATGCATGAGGCAGATTCATTCAGGTTTTGACTGAAGCTGTAATGTCTTGTTGCAGATTTTAAACTGTTAGATGTGTAAAAGATGAAAAATACTGAGGAAAGATTGTCCTGCAAAAAATAGACTCATTCATGGGATTTACTCCTTCAAGAAGCTTGTGATGCTGGTTCATTTTTTAAGGAATGGACACGTTTCAGTTCTTCAACCTCCAAGTTCTGCAATGCAAATACAGAGAGTTTATCTTCAGAGTTAAACTTGCTCTGAAACTAATGCAACTGCACAGATGCAGTGTTTAGATGCTGCAGCGTGTTGAGTGTACGGGCACTAAATCTAAACTAAACCCATCCTGCTGTGGATCATACTGGTGCCTGTGTCCATTCCTGGGATGTCAGCCAGTCCTCTGGCTGAAGGTTCTTTTGATATATGAAGGCAGCAAGGAATGATCAGCCCCACACGACGGGGCATGCAGACTTCTAAAATAATCTTCCCTCTCCACTTTACCCTGAGCTGCTCCGATGGGCACCCCCACCCCCCCCCACCCCCCATAATTCCTACAAACTAGAACTGATCGGTTCTGCAGAGGCAGGTTTGAAGAGGCGAGCAGCTGTGCTTTATGTAACACGGGGTGCTGTTTGAGGATTAACTTGCGTTTGTTGGAATCAGACTCTGGTTTCCACACCTCAAACATGACTTGGCAAAAACGGACCAGGATTGGTGTTCGACAGTAACCAGAGAGCAACGTGTTGCTGGTTCTGACTCACAAGCACAATCGCTCCACTAATTGGGTGCAACGCTTGGCATTTACATCAAAACGTGTTAAGATGTAACCGAAGAACCAGTCGTGTTCTTGTGTTGTCCTCTGGGATTCAAACTGTTAATTAAAAGTGATTGATAGTGCACAGAGGTTGGGTTTTGGGGGTCAGTCGGTAGACTAATTTACTCCTTAGTGACCCCGAGCTGAGGGCTGACCAGCTGGGAGTTTGGATTGTGACCCAGGATTCCAGCCAGTTCATCGTCCAACCTTTTAATTAACGATATTGCGTTTCTTTTGCACGCATATGCAAATCGGTCTGATCTGAAAAGTAAATGTCCCTGTGTGTCAGAGATAAGTCACTGTGAGCTGACATTACAAACCAGCATGCAGAGGTCATGCAGAGGCAGTCAACCGAGCACAAACTCACCTAAGGTAACACGTCGCGTCTGACCTCTGCTATCATCGACTTTGGTCTGGAAACAACAGATTTACAATAATTACATACAAATGTTGATCTTAGCTGTATTGAACATTTTTTGATCAATTACCTAATATAAAAAGATGCAAGTGTTTTTCATAGAGCACACTGAAAGTAGGTCACCTTTCTTTAGGAAGTATGGCGTTAGTCTGCTTCTGTTCGTGTTCCAGTCTGCAAAAAGAGAAACATCAATACAATTTTTGGGAAGAGATATTTCCACTTTATAAAACATCACACTGAAATAAATGACTTACCTGTCTTTTTGTGCTTTTAATTTATCATCATCGTACCTTCAACAAATTACAACAAAACTTTTAGACCCAAATCGCCTTTAGCAGGAATGTAGCACAGCTAAACAGAAAGTTCATCATTTGCAAAAGTTACGTTTTGAATTGTGGTGCCTTCAATTAGATGCAGATGTAAAATCTCAATCATTGCAAATATTAATTCTGTACAGGATCAATAAGGTTGGCTGCTTTATTTGTGACCTTTTTAAAAACTTTTGTAACATATTTTATTTTCAGTCATACTAAAAGTCTAAAAGACAGAGAAGGTAAAAGAATGCTGATTTCTGCATCCCATCATCCTCAAATTAACTGTTAATTCTGAACTTTATGTCTACAGAAAAAAAGGCAAAATTAGGTTAAAGATCTTCACTGCTCTTCTGTTTCATGATGCTTGATTGTTTCACACCCATGCAAACCTTCAAACCAAAGCCTGAAGCTAACTTCTCACACCGCGAGTCACAAGAAAAGACACTTTCCTGTTCCTTCCTGGTATTTAGCTGCACACTGATGAGTTTAAACATGGATGTTGTCTCAGCAGTGACCCCTGGTGGTCTTTAGTACTTACTGCAGCACACATTCAGGGATCTGCACATGCTCCATAGGGATTATGTGGCTAAGCTCCTCCAGGGTGTGAACATATCGGATTTTATCCATGAACTTCACACTGGATGGAAACAACAATAACTGCTACAAATGCTTTCTTTTTAATCAAACCACTAGGGTACAGTAAATTTTTTACATATTTTTGTAATGTTTTGAATAAATTGATAATGATCTCACCTGATGAATGGCCTTGAGATAGCCAGGACGGTCCGGATAAACCACGTTGGGTGCACAATAATGAGACACTTCAGATTTTTTCTCAGTCTGCAAAGACAATCAAATACCACAAATCTCATGCAACTGACTCATTTATTTGAATTTATTCAGCATTTTTCTTACTTCCTGTCAATCATCTGGTAGCATCTCTTCAGCCAGCTGATTCCTGGCATCTTCCTGCGAGGAGTCGCTCCGTTCAAGTAAATAATCATGTAATCTTCAGCCACCAGCAGCTCCAGGCTGCTCACCACATACCTGACAACAAAACAAACAAACTAAAAATCTGCATAAAGACAACACGTGATAAAAATTAGTATTAGTGTCAATTACAAAATAAGAAACATCACTAATTGTGTTGAACAGATGTAAAGTCAGAGTGAAAGAGAAATGCACTGGTTTGTTCCTTGTCTAATTCATTAATTAAATGCAAAATATTAAATCAAACACTGATGGATAAAGTAGATGATGTTGCTGTGAGCGATCAGAGAATGTACAGAAAGAGATTTTCCATGATGTAGGTGTAGTCGTCACAGCTGCTGTCCGGGAGGTAGCAGGCTGCAAAAACGATGATGGCGTTCAGGCCCTCGCCATAATAACCTGAGAGAACAGCAACAAACATTTAATGCCTTATTTGTTTCCAAATGATTAGGATTCTGAATTATTACTAGCATGCAAATTTTGCATTAAAAAAGTAAATGCAACTTTATTCTCTTTAAAAAAAATACTCTAAATTATTTTTAATCCCCCTGCAGGATAATGTGCTGTCATTCTTTCACAGCTTTCCCCACATGTCTGAGTCTCTCAGAGACGGTTTTGGGTGAATCGTAACGCTCTCACACGCTGACCTCCATGTGTGACCACACGCAGGTAAGGTCTGATGATCTGCATGTCAATGCGCTGCTCCTGGTCACTGATTATCACTGTCCGCCACAGACGACCTGACGAGTCTCTCTCCTCCTCACCTTCACCTGGAAGACGCTTGGCGGTGGCCACCGGAGTGTCATCTATAAGACGAATAAGAGGACACGAGTCAATATTTAGCACTTTTCTTAAAAAGTGGCAGAGTCCATCAAAAATTTGAAGCAACTAAATCAGCAATAACAATTCCAGTATTATAACTGGATAGGAAAAGGCCTAGTGGTCCAGAATAAATGCATTAATTTGTAAATGACAGAACAATAAGATTATTTAAATTTTTCCAGAGATGACCGCCTGACCTTCCCACTCCAGCTCGTTGCCATTGTTCATGAATTCAAGTGAGTCTGTCTCATCTGGAGTCTCGATATCATCAATGTTGATGTCAAGGTCGTCAGGCGTCTCCAGGAAGTCTTCGGAGAGGACAGAGCCCTCACTCTGATCTAGGGACAAGTTCATGTCTGGCGCCACCAGGGTGCGACGTTTTCGCTGGTTTATGGAGTCCCCCACATTCAAACTGGTGGGAGGATCTGAAACCAGAACGAAAGTGTAAATATGTCACATATTAGACGAGAAACAGAAATCATTGTTTTCATCTTACTGGTTCTGGTGTCAGTTAGACCACAGGAGTCAGCATCTCCGTCCTCTGGGAGAGGCCTGAGTGATTAAAGACGATCATAAATGAAATTTAAATAAATCCATTGAGATTCTAAATCTTTGAATGAACAGCAGCACAAAAGCTGGATGTTGGTAGTATACATGCACAAAACCCAACACTTCTACCCACTGGCTGCATAAAGAGTGAAAATAACCTTATTATATAACAATATTCTTATAATGATGATAAATGACCTGTACTTGTGGGCCTATAGCGTCTTTCTGAGTCAGAGGACTCCACAGTGATGTACACACACACACGCGCGCGCGCGCACACACACACACACACACACACACACACACACACACACACACACACACACACACACACACACACACACACACACACACACACACACACACACGATCATACACTGATGAGGATGAGCTACAATGTTGCCAAGGCTGCCGTACTGGTGCCACTGGTCCCTCTGACCACCACCAGCAGGACACGAGCAACTGCTAACAACCCACCGATTAGGGCAAACTCTTAACTCCTAATCCCAGAGCCACCGTCAGCCCAATAATATCTATTACATGTTCTGTTCCCTTTAACTGTCAGGTCAACTGCTTTCTTTAGCATATTTTAGTCTTTACTTCTTATTGAGACTTGCATCAAACTAAAACAAAACAAAACAAAAAAGTAAAAACAACTTGTCTGAAAAGGTTCTAGAAAATATGAACATGTTGGAATTAAAAGCGAGAATTACTATATTTTATTTATATAACTTTAATTTGAATATTGTTACGTGTAAATTGTTGCGCTGAATGAACAAAGAAGCATGCGATTTTTGCTTTTTCTTTGCTGAGGAAGTTGAATAAACTATAGTTATTAAGTCATCATGTTTCACATAAAAACATGTATTTTCTTTAGTTTGGTGGTTTCTGATGCTGCCATGGTAACTGTTGTTTTCTATGTTGCAAACCATAATCTGGTCAAATCAGCCCCAAAAAATAAAGTTATTTATGCAATCTAAAGTCTGATTTTTGGTCTTTTACATTAAACTCTATTAAAAATGAAGTAATGTGGATTATCATGAGGACAAACTAAGCTTTAGTGTGGAAGAGAAATCACAGTAGCTCTTATAAACACCCACACACTCAGGCAGAGAAGACACAAACACACTCCATAAAGGATAACAAAAAGAACCACAAGTATGGACTAGCAAGATATGTGAGGAAAACTGTTATGTTGTTAAAAGCTGAGATGAGGAAGGATTTAATCAGAATGAAGGTATTTATGCACTTACAAAATACATAAAAGAGCAAAAAATGACATTTCAATATAAATATCCATAGGATTTCTTATGCAGACCATGCTTCCGATGAAAAGTTGCAGACAAAGATGTTTTAATTCACGCTTTGTAGATTACCCAGATAATCCAGTAAAGAGAACCAGTCCTTGGGCTAGTGGTTGGAGAAAGTATGGAAATTAAAAGCAATATTTACATTCTCTTACATATTTCGTTGTGTTTTGTGATAAAGAAGCAGAGAAGGTGAGCACGCAGCTGTCCTCTGACGTTATTTTTAATCAATACATTGTTGTATTTTCCTTCTATTGCAATAGCCATTAAGAGAGGAGGTTGCTTATTTGTCTTTTCCACGGACGTCTATGACTTATTTTTTCTGCCAGCTGCTATTTTGTTCCCGACATCTCCTCAACGTAATGACGCCAAGCACACACCTGCTTCCTCTTAGCGCCCGACAGGCACCCACGTGACTGACTTTCCATCCCAACCTGGGCCGTTTGTCCCGAGCTGTGCGCAACTCAAACTCCAAAACGTCTTCTTGTATTCTACTCTCACATACCTGGGAAAGTCCTCGTCCTGCCACTCATCCTTGACCTCCATGCTGTCCATGCGTAAAGTGGCTTCTGCTGTTCCCATCCTCTGCTGGGGAGGACAGGCTGCAGCTCGCTGCAAAGAACCAAACCATATGATCTTTTATCTCCCTTTTCAGACAGAGTCTACATGTTAAAACACGGCACTCCAGATGAACCCCACCCAGTTTACACAACCTGATGGTTTGATCTGGATTATCGGCATTTTGTCTGGAGAATTTTAAACTCCAAGGTGTGGAACACCAAAGAAGTGGGTGGCAACCAGGTGAGATAAGTGAACAAAGATGAAAAAAGGAGGTAACTTCTGGCAGTGAGAAGAATTGCGTGAATAGAAGACAGCAAGGGATTTTCTTTCCCCGTATCCCCTGGGAATTAAACAGACACAAAACAATCATTTGCTCATCCACAACACACAATCAAGTCAGGCAGATCAGTGCTTCTTCTTTGCTTATAACCAAAACAGAAGTCTCAGTCTTTTGCAATAAGCCTTTAGTTATGAGATTTGATGTCTAGCTTCAGGGTTTCTTGTGTTTGAGCAATTCACTGCAGATATCGGTCATGCACATCATGAGTATTGTGCCCTGTGACTGTCCCAGACGCTGCTGCAGCCCATTTGTCCACTGGCGTGGCACTGATTTGCTAAAACCAACCCATTTACTGAAAAAACCCTTATTGTGCGCTAAAAGGCACAGGGCTTTAGGCCGCCAGCTTCCGGTTCTGCTATGTGCATCGATCCAATGAACTGCAATTGTCAATTGTTTTATACCTGGGGAGGGGGGCTGGGATGGGAGTATGGGATCTATGGGGCCATTTTAATCTGTGAATCACTTTGAGTTGCATTTTTTTGTATGAAAAGTGCTAAATAAATAAAGTTGATTTGATTTGAATTGTTAGATGTGAAATTAATGAGGAATTATTTTCTCCTAAAACCAGTCAAGATAAGCTCTGACACAAATTAGCATTCATCTAATTATTGAATTCAACTGATTATGTCTCTGTGCAAGGCTCTGCTAAGATTTGTTTCAGAAAAGAATCAGATTTAAGATGCAAAGTAATGATGGAGCTGCACGTGTTTGGTGGGGATTTGTGTCCAGATGGCAAGGCTTCCTTCATTTTCCTGTGTCTGTCTCATGTGCTGTGAAGAGTCTTGTTCCAATCAGACTTTGAAAGGCAGTTTCAAAGATGGAAATCAAACAGTTTGAAGAGACAGAGATCACAAGTTTAATCATAAGTTTGTGATTTCTAAGAAAGTCTTAAAATATTACCTTTGACAACACTCAGTTTTTTTCTGTGCTTGGATTACTTGTAGGTTATTAGATCCACTGAAGATAAAAGGTGACTTAAATATCACAATGAGTAAAACGCTTCCTGACCTCAAGTTGACCTGGTTTGATCCTGAATGACTTGGGAAGCCCCTAACAATATAACAACATCCATAATTCATTGTCTGAATCTAATAATTGGAGATTAGACTTTCAGGTCAGGAATAAGGGCCTGTCCCAAGTGGAGGAGTTAAACCATCTCGGGGTTTTGCTCTCGAGTGAGGGAAAGATTGAATGTGAGATCGATAGGCGAATTCGTGCTGCGTCTGCAGTGATGCAGAAGTTGTACCAGTCTTTCATGGTGAAGAGAGAGCTGAGCCAGAAGAAATGGCTCTCGGTTTATCGGTTGATCTACGTTCCCACCTTTACATGGTCACGAGCTTTGGGTAGTGACCAAAAGAACTAGATCGCAGATACAAGCAACTGAAATGAGTTTTCTCCACAGGGTGCCTGGGCTCTCCCTTAGAGATAGGGTGAGAAGCTCTGTCATACGGGAGGGGCTTGGAGTAGATCTGCTGCTCCTCCACATCAAGAGGAGCCAGTTGAGGTGGCTCAGGCATCTGGTTAGGATGCATCCCTAGTGAGGTTTTCCGGGTCCAACCGGGAGAAGACCTAAAGGAAGACCCAGGACATGCTAGAGGGACTATGTCTCTTGGGATTTGCCTGGAGGAGCTGGCCCAAGTGGCTGGGGAGAGGGAAGTCTGGGCTTGTCTTAGAACATCTTAGGTGTGTTCATGCTGTGTTGTGGTTCTATTACCACGCAGTCGTTCTTTTTTAAAACACAGAAACAGTTTCGTTACCTGTTTTGTCACTACGTTTCGTCTGCGGCTGCAGACTTCCTCAGGCTGACGCTTCTCTTCTTAAGTGGCTGGCCCCGCAACCCGACTCCAGATAAGTGGGCAAAAATGGATGGATTGGCTTCTACGATCACACCTAATTTCCATTATGAAGCTGTGTGGTTCAGTCATTATTTACTGACAGCTTTTGAATGCCCTGCTGACCTCTCTCAGCGAGGCTGACACCATTCATTTAAAAGGCAGCTGAAGAGGTTTTTTATTAGACAAGCTTTTCATTTTTAGGTTTAGCTGACTGGCTCCTACCTCTATCCCCTGCCTTTTATCTGTCATTGGAATTAGTTTTGATTGTATCTGCCTTTATGACTTTACTGCTTTTGTTAACCACTTTGTGATTTTATCTGTAATAGTGCTATATACACAAAAATTGACCTTTTCTGCAACTACTTGATATCTAGAGAAAGTAATCGACTTTAAATTACATTTAGTAGCACAAATTATATTTATCCATAATGTTTTCACACACAAAAAAAATCCACCATGTAGAGGAACATTTTGTTCAGCTGTCATTAGAAAAATCACAAGCGGGGTGGGATACTCACATATAACAACGGAGCTCTCCTCCTTGCTGTTTTGTATTATTCTTTACTTTAAAGTGGCTGCGTGACGATCATCACTGCTGACCTTATCCAGGTGTCGCACTCTGCCACGCAGTTCCTGTTGCTTGTTGATGGAGGCAGGAAGGCAGGAAGGCAAATCATGTCACCCTGCAGAGGAGAAGGATGAGGAGAGCCCTGAGCTGACATCACTCTGCTGTCATGACTTTAGCATCCTCACTCTCTGCTTTTAACTGGACTCATGGCGATCCCTCTTTTCTCTCTGCCTTCACCTCCTCCTCCCTCCGCCAACACTAATGCCCCCACCCCGGGCGCTAATCCCCCTGATGATGTCACCCAAATGAAAGCTGTGATGTGACAATTATGTAATCACAACTGACTTACCTTCTGCTAGATTATGTTCAAAGTCACGATCACCTGTTTTCCTCATGTTCAGTTCTTCCCGCTCCCATTTCCAAATGACTTTCCATCATTTCACAAGCTGTAAAAGATGAACATCTTTATTTCACCCTTGTTCCCTGGCAACAGCATCCTCCCGCCTCACACAGAATCTCTGTCTCTCTCCGTTTTTTTCTATCCATCCAACGAAACCTCTCTCCCTCTCTCTGGATGAAACCCCTCCTCCACATGAACTCACCTCCTCTCCTTTGGCTGTGACGCCATCCCTCCCCTCCCTCTCGCTCTCCTCACAGCTGCACTGAGCTCTGGGCGATGTCAGTAAACACAGACGTATTTTTTCTCATGCTGCGCTCATCTCCCAGCAGGAGCAGCCACGGCTTCTTATTTTGGAAACACTGTGTTTACAGGTTCCGGGATTGCTGAAATATCTAAATAGGACCAAGTAATTCCTCATCTTTTTATTTTCCAAAATAAACTTAAACTTTTAGGCATTTTCAAGCTTGTATGCAAATTTTAGTTCATAAATGCATCTTTTGCTGCTCAACAATGTGTAACAAGGTTTTTATTGGCACTAATTACTTGTACATGTTTGTTATTTTTGCTGAGAAAAGCATTTTACTGTTTTGTGTTTAGCAGCTTCAGGCAAAGCATGCCTTCTTAGCATTGTCAGGGTTTATTTGGGTCACCGGTTTCTTAACCATTCCTCCAGCAGATAGAGCTAGAGAGTTCCTTATGAAGCAAAAACACTGCATAAGTTTAAAGAACAGCAGAAAATGAATGATTTCTTGGTTTATATCAAAGAATTACAATAACATGTTATATTTTTTCACAAATGCTGGATGCAGCTCAGAAGGGGTGGGCCATTTCTACCACCAAGTCTTTTTCTGCAGGACTAGAAGTTTCCAGCTCATGTCTAGACAAATGTTGAACCACGCCAACACCGATGCAGTCACCCAGCACATTGGCGACGGTCCGCAGACGATCCCTGATGAATACAGACATGGTAAATCCACAGACATGCAGCTTTTATATCACAGGGTGAAAAATAACCCATTCAAATCTCTGAGTACTATCAGTTTTCTCACAATTTTCTATTCTTTTATTTCTATACATTTTAAGCAGAAGAATAGAAATATTTATGATTTATTTTGTTATTTGCTCAGATGAAACTGCATTTTCCACAGGATTTTCACACAAAAAACACAATAAAATGTCAAAAAAAACAAATGTGTGCACTTACAGGAACCAATCAAAAATCAGGACCAGTGAAATGTCCTCAGTGGGGAGTCCGACTGCTGACAGAACGATCACCACGGTTACCAGGCCAGCTGATGGGATGCCTGCTGCACCAATGCTGGCAGCTGTGGCAACACAACTGCAAAATGCAGAGATGTTACAGTTGAGCGTAGCACGCAAATCATCTTTCTATTTACAAAACACTTTGATAAATTACAACATTTTATTAAGTTTAATAGAAACCAAAAAATAAATTCAAGAGCTGCATGAAAATCTGTTTCTGTACAAATTTAATTTATGAACCAAAAGTTGTGTGCATTTAAAAATGGTAATAAAAATAATGATTATGAACACGAAGTACCTGAGAACAATGATTTGTCCAGCACTCAGATCTATATTATGACGCTGAGCAATGAAAAAGGCAGCTATTGCTTCATAAAGCGCTGAACCATCCATGTTTACAGTGGCGCCTATGGGGAGCATTAAGCGCGTCACTCGACGGTCCATGTTGTGATTTTTCTCCATACAGTAGACGGTAACAGGCAAAGTTGCAGAACTGTCACAAAACACATCAGGTTTAGTTTTAGGTTCAAGTTTCCTTTTCATTAATATATCTGCAAAAATACCAGATTGTCTACCTGGACGACGTTCCGAAAGCCGTGACGAGAGCCTGAAGAATACCTCTGAAGAACCTTATAGGATTCTTACGTGTCACTATGAAGTAGATGAGTGGGAGGGTGAGGAAGCTGTGGACAGCCATGCCAGTGATCACACAGAGAACATACATGGCAATTTCTCGACCAATATCTAAAGTGTTTGCCATCTTGACAACCTGACCAGCTAGCAGGAAGATGATTCCCACTGGAGAATACCTGCCGAACACAAAGGTGAGAAACTTTAACACAGATGCAATAACCCTGCTTCTCTGTAAAAATAGAAAATGTACATATCCCAAGTAGATGGCTTATTGAATTGCCCTTTTTCATGGAAATACTTGCAACATACAGGAAAGTTGAGCTAGCAAGATCAGCACGGACCCATACGCACTGCTGCCTTTTTAAAAGCTCTTACATCAGAATTTTCATAGCAGTTTGTTATTTTATAACTCTTCACATATGCAACATTTTTGTAACTGTCATTACTGACTGGCATGAATCATCCGCAATAGCAAAATGTAGCTTTCCTGGTGCAAACGGGGGAAAACAGGGACAGTCCTGGCACAATAACATTATAACACACAAATTGCTATGAATCTTTGGCTGTTGAAACAGTGTAGTGCTGCCATCTTAAAGTGGCTTTAATCTCGCAAACGTCCCAGCAATCTAATACTCATAATGTGTAACGTCACAAAATTGACTGATTTTAAAGATCCCACAGGTCATTTGCAGCCAGAGCAAATAACCCTGGGGGCTACATGTTCTGCTGTATCTTCCCTTGTCAGGAGTCTGTGAGTCTGCACAACTCAGCATTTTAATCAGATGACTTCATCAGCTGAGCGCAGCTTCATCAGATAATAAAGATGAACAGTAGCATTCCTTTCCCCAAGGTTCCTCACAAGAGAACTCTTTAGATAAACTTTTTATTCTCCAAAAGAAAAAATGATCTTATAATTCAAAATAGTCATTATGAACTTTTGTTATTATAAGCAATGAAATGTCATGAATCTGTGTTCAAGGTTTAGTAGTGTTTACTAGGTGAGGTCATCACCATTTGCTCACACACCAGACAACAGTAAGGTTAAAATTAAGAATGCATGACACATAACTAACCTTGTCCCTAGACTCAGAGACTCTGTGTCTCAGAGCGTGTGTTTCTGAGATTCTTGGTAAGTTTGGTAATAGATAACAGCCGGTATATAAACCAGCCGCTCTGCTTTCTCGCAAGTCGAGAGAGAAAGCTGGAGACTGGCCATCTCTTAGCATATCTCTAGCTCAGAAAGATTTTGACACGCTGCTAAAACCTTAAAGCTTTTTGCACCTGCGAAGCTGAACAACAAGATAGCTTTCCTGCAGAAAAAAGCTGACTCCAACTCCTTCAGAGTTGATTTTAAGATGCTTGGTTCCATTCATCTATCGTTGTGACCCGCAGGCATCTGAGGACTGATTTGGTCGCATCGAGGTTTCTCTACGAACCAGGTGCAGTGGGGTCGTCGGCTCCTGGACATCTCGGATCCAATCGGGGTCTCCAAATGGGTGAGGTAGACACAACGAGATAGCGTCTGCATGTGGTTCTGATAATAACAGCTTATAGCTTATCTGCCAACCAAATTCTTTTATCCAGAATGCACCTCTCTGAAGATAAGGAGATTCTAATTCATCATCTCATATTCACACATAGTTTTCAGACACCCATCTTTTAGTTCCATCCACTCACAGGATAAAAGTTTAAACCATTTGTCAAGTCTTAATTGTTTGTAAAATAAATTCTTATTTGTTTGCAAACACTGACTGGTTCTTGAATCATAAACGAAGTGTGAACGATCCCTTAATAATTAAAAGAATCCTAGAACCTTCTAATTAATTTATCATCCTCAGACCAAGCAAGGTGATATTCTATAATTAATGGAGTATTACCACTATTGGTCACAAGTAATAAGCAGTGTTGGGAATAACGCGGTACAAAAGTAATTAATTACTGTAATGCATTGCTTTTTGCTGTAATGTGGTAATGTAAGGCATTACAGGGAAAGAAAATGGTAATATTTACTCGGTACAATTGTCAGTAACGCGGTAATTACAATGCATTTTTAAACCCAGAATCAAGATGTGGGCTTCCTAAAAATTCAAATTGCGGGACGCCTGAAAAGAAATTCAGTATCCACATATATGAAGTCATTTTTCATTGATGTGTGTGTTTTGTGACTGTGTGTGTAACCTGGGCGCTAATTCTCGTGTCACATGGCGAATCAAATTTACCTGTGGGTATTAATAAAGTTATCTTGAACCTTGATTTATGGACTCAGCTTTGCGGGCATTCTATGAGCAGAGAGGACGCAGCGGTAATGGCTCAAATACTCCAGCTGCGTCACAAAATTGTTCCACCAAAACAAAGTAATTTGTTTGTTATCGTTTATATCAGCCCATATTCTCTGGTACTTCACACACTTTTCAGCTGAGTTCATAATCTGTGCCCCGGTGATTTTAACTCATTGCTGCTGGAGCGCAGTGCCTATTGAGCTTTTTTTCTTTTTTGCGTTCGGTAGATCCCTTTGGCTGATTAGTTACAAAGTAGGAAATCTAGGAAACAGTTTTTCTGGAAGACGGAGAAAACATGCAGCATGCAGGAAGGTTAGAGAGAGAAAGGGCCGGAAATTATTCAAATAAAATCAAGAAAAAAAAGTAGGTAGATTTATCCCCAATACACATTTTTACCAGTCAAAAGCAATAATATGTAAGCATTTAATATTTATGCATGTGATAGAATCAGATCACCCCAGAAGTCAGTCCCACATCCAGGGCCGTATCAAGGCATTTGGGGACCAAGGCAAATATAGGCTTGGAGCCCCCACCACCCCACTCCCTGCTCAGTTAATATAAGATGGCAGCGTGCTGAGAGTACAGATTGTTGTTGCTTTTATTTAATAAACAATCATTTTAAAGCACTGTTTTTATATCTGACTGTTTTAACAGCAATCCTAGCTCTGATACCACATCACCTTCCACATATATGTCATGAGCTCACTGAGCGTCACATTACCAGATTCATATTGAAGTTGTTTTGGTGAAAGTAACTTAAAGTAATCCAAAAGTAGTGTAATGCCTTACATTTTAAAATCAGTAATATTGTAATGTGATGAATTACTTTAAAATGAGGGTAGCAAGTAATAAATAACGCATTACAGTTTTTAAGTAACTTGCCCAACACTGGTAATGAAAATAGAAATAAATAGCTTGTAAAGCAATTTATTTAGCCCACATTACTCTACTATTTTCCATTACAACTGCACTATTTTTTATTTTTGACAGAAACATTAAAGACCAAGTTCACTTTTTTTTTTTCAACACATTTGCAGTGGTCTCAAGAATAAACGACTGCCTTGTGAGTTGATTTCTGTAGGGAAAACAGCTGTACCTCTACTGTTTCAGGAAGTAGAAGTTACTCAGACAAGTAGGGAGCAGAAGACAAATTTCCTGATATTCAGACATCTCACCCCTGATTGGCTAACAGCAACACAACTCTACCACTGATGTGTAGCGATAATTATAGATTTATATCTATATTTCAAATGTGGCGTAGATTTAGCTTGTTTATAATCTTGTCTTAATTAATCGGGGCACCACCAGTTTCTGGAACTGGACTGTTGGATTTAATATCTATATCTTTGCAATGTAATCAGTCTCAGAGTTAACACCACTAATTAATCTAAAGGTTGAATCCTTTACTGAATGCACCGATTATTCCCGAGAATTGCTAGACAATGAAAAGGCGTTATTTATGTTTTGTGAATTTATTACAACATCAGTTAATCCATTGACAAATGGACCAAACACAGCTTATAGTTTCATGCATAGAATTAAGAAAATTGTTAACCCAAAGTTTTATGGCAGTGACAGGAAATAACTGATCCGTAATAAAAGTGGAAATTCTGTGACACCAGGATTATAGTAACTGTTAGGAATAATTTCTGAAAGGAGAACCATGGGAGTGTGTGTGTGTGTGTGTGTGTGTGTGTGTGTGTGTGTGTGTGTGTGTGTGTGTGTGTGTGTGTGTGTGTGTGTGTGTGTGTGTGTGTGTGTGTGTCAGAAGAAGAAAGGGGGTCTTGAGAGCTAAATGTGGGATCGAAATAAAGAAGCCATAAAAGAAATGGACTAATCGTAATTCACTAATCGGGCTTAGCACAAAAGTCAGCCGGATGAGTTGTTTTACAGACCTGTTTTTCGTCGCCAAGGAGGTGTCCTGTGGGCTGGTTCAGTCGGTGCAGAAGCTAGAATGCGGCCTTCAGGTGCCGTAGGACTTTTTGGCACCTCAACTTAGGTCATCAGAGTCTGTGGTGTATAGAAGGAGGTGTTCTCCTGCAGTGGCTTGACTCAAGTTTCCTTCACTTCAGCGGCCTCGAAACGTGGAATTCAGATCGAGGGCCCAAATTATTCCAAATGGAGCCGGATCATCAAACTGTTCCAAATTGCTTTTACTCTTAACGTGAGAACTCGACGAAAACGCAGACTTCCGGTTTCACGTAGGAAGTCAAAACAAAACAAACGGAGTTGCTTCTAAGTTTTACCGTAACTTTTGAGAGCGAATTACTTGACAACTGTAAAGCGCTGGGTTCTGCTGGGCCCAGATGGAAACAGCCCGCAGAGATGTATGCTTAAGGCATCCTTTGTTCTTTTCTTCTCCCACACGAGGTCTGAACCCTGGTTTTTATAACTTCTTGGTCACACTCACACGCATTTCACTCATTAACCACTTGATGGCTCCATGGCTCTTTCAAATAAACTACCTACTCAAAGATGGAATGTCCATGATCACAATTTAACACAGTTATTCATATAAAGCCTCAAAAAGTATTACTTTAGCATCAAAGTATTACTTTAAATGGGAAAGAATTAACTTCAGATCTTAAGCTTGACTGTATCACTTTTAGCGTGGTTTTGAACTGGTGAAACACAATGGCAGAAGTTTAACATGAAAGAAAACACAAACAAACAGTTTAGTTCTGTGGCTGAAAAGATTTTAACTTAGAGCACCTTGATTTCTATTTTAAGGGTAAACAACCTAAATTCCTTCTTTGATTACAGATAAACAGAAAAATACCAGGGTTTTGATAAAGGCGAGATCCTGGAATCTTCCAGAATGACCCTTGAGAAATTTTATGTGCACCCAGCCTTGGGGGGAGTCATGACACATAACTAACCTTTACAGGTTGAGGTAAGACAGACCAAGTCCTGATAATGTCTGGCTTAACAAGTCACTTGGTAAAATTTACGTTCCTGGGAGAAAATGTAGGAGTTAGCCAGATGTTCGAAAATGGTACCTTGGAATTTATACGATTGTAGGTCAGTTTCAAATTCCCCCTTTTTTCTGCTAAGTGTGAAAGAAACCTTTGTGTGAAAATGTTATTGTTCTTCTCTGTGCAAATCCAAACAAAGTTAACCTGAGGATATAAAATGTGGATTTCCGCTACAATGTCATGTTCTGTGTCCCTCTGTCCCCAGCCTCCTCCTGTTCTCATTCCAGGTTCTCCTCTTGTGTCCCATTATTATCCCCAGCCCTCTCTAGACTTCCCTCAGGTGTCCTCCTAATCACTCCCTGATAATTCCTAGGCAATCTTATTTTAGTCCTCCTCATCCATCTAATTATTAGTTGTTTATTTTTGCCCTCAGTCTTTAGGTTTAGTTTTAGCCGTGTTTTATAGGTTAAGGTTTATCTGCCATCCTGCTTGTTTCTTTCCCCTCATTTAGGTTATTGTATGCACCTGCCTTCCCTCCAGATCTCACTCCTCACACCTGTCACCTGTTCCCCTGATCACCTCCCTCTGTGTTTAAAAACCCTGTCTTGTCCTTCAGTGTTTGTCGGTCCATTGTTGTGTCTATGTTGTTCTGTTCCCTCCTGAGTTTTGCCCGAGTCCGTGCTCAGTTGTGAGCTTCTGTTTTGTTTTTGGACCGCTGGATCAAGCCTCCTCCTTTAAATAAAGGATTTACTTATTAACATCTGCTCCTGTCTCGTGTGTTCTGTGTTTTTGGGTCCAAACCTCCTGCTCAGTGTGACTTACAGATGTTTTATCTCTACAAATAATTCAAGCCTGAAGGAGTTCTGCCATGTCATGGAGTTGGTAATTACACCAGTTAGCTTCTATTAATCGAGACAAGCTCTGCTGTTTCCTGAATGCTAAACCAACAACAACCGTGTTGCGAGCCAAGATGGGTGAGTCCATGAATGCTAATTTTCAGAGTGACGTAGATCTGTGTGACTTATCTAATCTGAGCATTTTCCCCATCTATTTTCTATCTGTGGCTAATGCGGATAGATTATTTTCATGTTTAGCCTGCATGTGTAACTCAGGGACTGATCATATTTAAAAAATAACAAGTAAAAAAACTGTTTCACAGTGAATATGGCCTTTAAGAAATAACAGCTGAACCTGACCCTTGAATGCACCTGACATTGTATAAAATCACGTAATTCCATGTGATGGAAATCTGTCAGCGGATTTAAAGCTTATACATCTATGCTATGAAAATAAGTCTCTGTTTTGTTAAGGGTAGCCATTTCCTCACTAGTCCTGTAGGATACACTCTAACTCCAAACAGAGAGCATCCAGGAAGCCATCTGGGTGAGAAATGGAACGGCAAGTATGACAAATCCTTAAACTCTGCGATAAGATCTCCATCAGTTTTGTTACTCTATCATTATCCTCAGCCTTCTTTTCTTACCAGATGACAATGCTAACCAGACGCATTACTGCTTTGTTCAGGCAGTCAAAGAAATCCTTCAGAGGTTCTCCCTGTGGACCCATACTGCTCAAGATGAGGCCAAAGGCGATGGAGTAGACCAACAGACCCAACACGTTGATGCCATCTGCAGTTCCTGGCATTGGTACTGGCAAGTGATTATGAAAAAAAACTAGAATTAGTTTCAAAATAGAAAATGCCACAACTATAAGACTATATTTACTCATAAAACTTACTGTCAGCGGATGCATTCAGTTTTATTCCTGAGGAATCATTACTAGAATAAACTGTTATATACTGAAATAAAAAGATAAAAAGTGAGTAGTTAGTGGAAGAATAAATGATAACACAATGCAATCCCTCTGGGATTAATAAAGTATCTTTGTTGTTTTGTAACAGATGCAGATGCAACAATACTGATCTTACTTTTCTGAAACAAGCCTCCACCAGGTTCAAGGGGAGCATGTTTCTATGAAACACAGCTGTAGTTCAGTACGAAACAAGAGCATAAAAATGAACTCTCATCATTCTGGAACGGTGGTTATACCTGATCAGATCCAGAAAAGCATCCAAACTCTTCAAAGGCTCTGCTTCACCACTAGAGGTCTCTAAGGTGTGCTTGGAGGATTTTCCTGGTTGGATCAACACAGCCACGACAATGCCGGTGAACACAGCAACAACAGTGGTCACCATGTAATAGGCGAAGGCTCGAAACCCAATTTTCCCATATGCTCTTGGATCTGTATTTGCCATGCCTGGAATTTAAAGTATTTGTGGTAAATAAATAAAAATTTAAATTCCACAATTCTCTTACCTGGCTTTTATCTATGGCCAAAAGATTTGAGAATGACATAATTTGGTCTGATCACATTTTATCGTTCAAATTTGATCATTTTTTCCCACATTTTCTATGGCATACGGCAATATAATAACTAACTTTTCTTTGGTTTCAAAAGATTTTATTGGTGAATGCATTAACTTTATGCAAGGAGTCCACATTTGCATGATTGGCCTTTTTTCCTTTCATCTTAACAAGCTGTCAATCAACCTTTGGAGCAAATCCTGAACAGTGATTAAAAAGATTGAACTCTGGCAAATTGACATGAACTCCAAATGTTATTGTGTCAAGTTCAAATTCACTATCACTTTAGTCTCACCTTTGACGGCATGGCTCTTCAGCATGCTGGAAAAAAAATGATGCTCACCATCAAACTGTTCTTGGATGGGAGAGAGAAGTTCCTCAGGGAGGATGTTTAGGTGCCATTTATTGTTCAGGGCTGTGATCTGATGCTAAACTTTGAGAGTCTACTCCCTTTGCTGAGAATTAGCATAACAAAGAGATACATTGTCCCAATGTGTTTCACTGTTGACAGGACTCAGGAATGTCTCCAGACAAACATTTTTTTCAGATGTCTAAAACAATGGGAAATGGAATCAATCAGGATCAAAGAAATTATGAAATCCCTGGAATTCTAGCAGAATATCAGCTTTCTGATGGCTTTCTTGAAGAAATACGGCTTCTTTGCAGCCCTTCTTGACCCGAGACCAACCTCTAGAAGTTTCCTTCTTTGCTGTGTGTAAAGTTTGGTTGCTTTTCTAAAGCAAGCTCTGTAAGAGTCTTTGTGGATGAAAGCGATATTTCCTAGTTACAAAGGACGTTGCATTACAACTGAAGCAGAAAAGTTTGGCAATGAATATTTTTGCCCTTTTCGAACGTTTTGGCCACAGCTGTAACTTGTTGATGTAGGAAGTAGAATCTTTAAAGGGTAGCCATTTTTGATACTTACAATGGGTTCAGTTGTTTCTCCTTTGTTTCTCAGTGCCTTGCAAAATCATTTTTACACTTAAATTGGAGCTGACATTCTTGGCACTTTTACTTTACTTGACTGTTAAGGTTGGGTTTCAAGAGCTGTTTAAACCCTTCCTTTGGAAACCAGAAAGATGTAATAAATATTACACAGCGCATTTCTGCAGCTGTTCAGTGGTTGCAGCACATTGGCAAGCTGTATCAGGTGGTCAGTCATATTAATACTATACTAATTGTTAACAAACCATAATCAAGATTTCAAAAGCCTAAATTTGGAGCTGACCTGAAATCAGACTGGAAATGATGAGGGGAAGCACCAACATCTGCAGAATCCTTAACAGCAGCTCACCAGGAAAAGTTAAATATTGGATTTCTCTGGGTGACATGTTAAGGTGTCGCAGAACGAAACCCAGGCCAAGTCCTCGGAATCAAGAAACAAAACAATAATCAGTAAGTTTGTAGAGGAAAATGCACGCATGCACGCACATTCTGAGACAGGCTAACAAAGGCCGTAAGCTAGACAGATGAGAGCAATTTTTTTAAACGGTATAAAAACTTTTTTTCTTAAGGTCTCATACCTATCCCAACGCCGATCATTGTTAGGATGACAAATGCGTGTTTCTTGGTAAAATCCCAGATCTTAGATCTCTTCATGATGGAAGTTGCTTCACCTGAAGGTTCAGAATATCCTGTCCCTACAGCTTGGACAGCCTCTCCGGACTCCATCTCAGACACGTTCTGAGAACTCTGTGGTTCCTCGTTTATAAATACTCCCAGACTTGGTATGAAAGACATCCCCAGTGAGATGTAAAATCCCTTCCAAAAGCAATTTTGTTAACAGTCTTGTCAGCTACTTCTGATCTTCAAATATAAAAGAATATAATGTGTACTTGGTTGAACATTCAGTACATTATTCTTGACAGATTGACATGTTTTGCAACCCAATAACTTCACAGCATTAATAATTAGCTTCACATTCGCATTTCTTTGAATGAACAGACATAAACCCCACAAAAATGTGATATGCACCACATTATTTTTTATATTTACATGTACTGATACCGATACTGATCACTGTGCTAAAACAATGTGATCAAATTACATTTTTATTTTCTAACATGGAAAACATAAAAAGACACATTTTTGTTATTATGATGCTGTTAACAGAAACTATAACCAAGAGTTTGGCTGTTAAACACAGAAATTATTTTCTACTACAAATTCCTTGTGTCATTTATGGATAATTTTCTCTGCATTAGTTTCTTGTTCAGTGCAGATGTTGGAGACAAATGAAGTGCTTGAATCAAACTGTCACTCATGTGAAAACCTTAAATGTTAATCTCCGTAAACAGTGGAACAGATCAGGAAGATTTGAAACATTTAAACAGCTGCTTTGTTTTGGTTTTGGTCTTAGTTCAGTTTAATTCCCTTTAGCCGGTTAGTGACGAAGTTAACATATCTCTAATGTATTTGTGCATCCTCCAAATAATAATCCAGGTTAAAGTCTCAGAAGAGTCGATAATAAAAAGAAAAAAGTTAAACAACAACACCAAGAAGGCTGAGGCAGTCAGGAAGCAGGCAAACAGCTGTGAGACAATAAAATGCTGCGTTGCTGGGGCAACTTGTCCATATATGAGTCAGGGAAAGGTGATTGAGAGCTGGCTGTCTGAAAACTTTCTCCTGCAGAATGATGCCAAGACAGAGGCTATCATTTTCAGCCCTAAGACTTCTCCAAGCCCCCAACTGACCCTTCCTTTTATTTCAAGTGGGTTGAAAACCCGTGTCACAAACTTAGGGGTCGTGATGGATGCCAACCTAAAAATGGACATTCATGTCAACCAGGTAGTTAAAACCTGTTTTTACCACCTGAGGCGTCTCTCCTAAGTTAAGCCCATTTTAAAAAGGCGTCATCTCCATTCAGTTGTCCATGCCTTCATTACCTCCCGTCTCGACTACTCTAACTCAGTGCTATATGGTATCTCCTCCTCCACTCTCGCCTGCCTTCAGCTTGTGCAGAACGCAGCAGCTCGATTCCTGACTGTCACCAGGCAGCGAGAACACATCACACCGGTTTTGGAAAATCTCCACTGGCTCCCCCATCTATCTCTGGATAGAGTTTAAGATCCTGTTTTTGTGTTCAAATCCCTGTTAGGATTCTACAACCCCCAAGGCGCTTCACAACACAGTCATTCATCCCCCTATTCACATGCTGGTGATGATGAGCTGCAGCCACCACTGCCCTGGTGCGCACTGACAGAGGTGAGGCTTGCCAAATACTGGCGCCACCGGTCTCTCTGATCACCACCAGCAGGCAAGGTGGGTAAAGTGTTTTGCTCCAGGACACAACAGCAGCATTCTCTGGTCAAAGCCGAGATCGAACCTGCAACCTTCCGATTACTGGACAACCCTCCTGAGATTCTGCTGTCCCAGTTGTTTGCTAATGTCCAGGGGCCTCATTTATCAAGCTTGCTTACGCACAAAACGGGGTCGTAAAACTGCGTAAGCAACTTTCCACGCAAACTTTGCGATTTATGAAAGAAAACTTTGTGGGAAAATGTGCACAACTTTAAGTTGACTAAGGACCTGGCTTACACACACTTTGGACATGGAGAGCACCTGCAGTGCTGCTGCTGAGAATAAAATTATGAAATCCTGCAGCATTATCACTTGTACTGCTTCGTTTTCACACAGAACAAGACCCCTCACACGCACACGCGCATGTACACACACATGCGTGCACACTCTCTCTCACACACACACACAAACACACACACACACACACACACACACACACACACAGCCTGAAGCGCAGAATACGGAATGCAGAATATCAGCAGGGGGACAGATTGAGACAGAATGTCATGCATCTGTGACAGTGTGTGTCCTGTCACTGTGACCCAATTGATCATGTGCCCTGGCTACTTGGACAGGGAGATTTCTGTTTGGCTGATTGGTTAGTGCGTGTGACTTTCACCTGGGAGTCTGGGGATCAAATCCGAATTGGACCATTTATTTTATATCTGCCACAGATCTCTCTGAAGAATTCACAACATTGATGGCTTCAGCAACGCTGTGCCACTCCGTGGATTTTCTCTTATTTTTTTTCAAAAGCACTTCCTTTCATTTCTCCACCTCACCCACAGGTACCTCAATTTCTGCTTCTGTGAAATTGCGCTTCCTTGATCTGCCTTGATTTACGGTCGCCATCGTCATTGGCGGAGCGCTGAAACAGCCGACTCATGTATATGCATGAGATCCACAAGGCACTTTGCATTGACTATTTATGGCAGTAAGTGAGCATGGTGAGGGTGGGATGTGACTAAAATGCAGATGAGAAACATTCTCGTTAGTTTCCGACTTATGAAGCGGAGATTGCGTGCAGCTGTGCGTACTCCATGTTTGATAGATCACAAACCTACTTGGCGTAAGTACTTTTTTTTGCTGAGCTTAAGTACGGTTTTAGTAAGGATTCTACGCAATGTTTGATAAATGAGACCCCAGCTGCGTTTGATCTGTGAGGTAGAGACAGAAAACGAGGTGAAACTAAACAAAGTGTGACAGGCCATGACTAATTCATGATCGTTTGAACTGGTCAAACACACTTGACTCAAAAATACCAGCTAATATCAGATCAGCAGGAATTATTACAAAGTTCAAAGATCACATTTAAAAAATCCTTTTCAGCTAAATAAAGTTAATAGTTAAAATATTCTTTTCAACCTAAAAGTCCTGACTTTATGAAAGCATCTTCAGAATTTTTAAGTTGTAATTTTACGTGTTAATTTTTCATGACATAGCTCTTTTAAAATGCCAACATGAAAATTTTTGTATGAATTACTTTAATATGGTGAATTTCTGAATGAGATTTGAATTAACGAGCTGTTAATGAGCTTCTGCTGAGCTTAAACAATATATAATGAGGAAGTTGGTTAATTAAAAAAAGGTGTGTTGACGCAGAAAACCTCTAAAATAGGTTGGTTCCCCTGGATTTGGCACCAAAACTTTAAGTTGAGAAAGTGATAAATGAGCAGAGCTAAAAGCTCTGAGAAAGGTTTTAATTATGTAAAGTCAACTTGATATAATATTTCTTTCAATTAAGGAAAACTGATGAGCATCACAACCAGCAACTGTTTAATGTTCTGTATATATGTTGCAGCAGATTGAGTGTATCTTTGCGCGATGCTACATCTCTAAAGCCAGGATTCACAGCAATTCAGCTATTCCCCTGTTCATGGGAAATATTTTTCTCACTTTATTTGTCATTGAACCAGCATCTCGGTACAACAGTGTCAATTTTAGTACAGCCTTTCCAAGGGCAGGTATTTGGAACAAAAAGTACAGTATGTGGACAGGAACAGGCTGTCTGTGGGCATGCAGCCATTCACAGCACCATGGACGTCATTTTTGCTTTAGAAGTGGGGGGACACGGGGGGTGGGGGTGGGGGTATCTTTACAGTATGCTTTAATGGGAAACAGATTTCAACACAAATGGTTGTTTTTCGCTTAGTCCTAGAGCTCAACCAGTGTCAATTTAATATAGCGTAATATTGTTTTTGGATGGTAAAAAGTGCAGCGGTCAAAACTTGACTTTGGAAAAAGTGGGGGGGACATGTGCCCCCCCCCCCCCAAATTACGTCCATGCACAGCACTCCTATGTGATAAGAGAAAAATGTTACAAGGGGGAGGAAAGAAGAGTCAAGAGAGGAAAAGAAGACTGAATCCTTGGGACGATGTTTGCATTTCTGTGAAGTTGATTGTGCATGTTTGTTGTGTCAGTAGTAAGTGAGTCTGTGACTTATCTCCCAGATCAATCAGTGTCTCTAATCTAGGACGTAATTCCTTGTGAGCTGATCCAAGGAGTTCACAAGACTATGAGGAACGGGAAGTGGGGGATGCCATCTGTGTCCGTCTCTGAGGGAATCAGCCAAAATCAGTTAACAGTAATTGTTTTGCAATGGATAGATTAATTGTCCTCTCTGTCTTCGGTCCTTCTGCGGTTGTAAGGCCAAACAACCCTCTAAAGGATGTAAGTTTCCACTGAGCCAAGCTGAGATCTTCTCCATGCTGTTTCCCATTTCACATGCAAGTTCCAAAGCAGACTGCTGCTCAGAGAATCCAGTTTTCAGGTCATCTGGTGTAATGCATGAGTCTGAGAGCTTGCAGCACGGCACAGCCCTTCTCTAAGCTAAAGAAGCATGCCAATTGCTTGCGTCAGCCGCCAAATTTTCCAATATACCTGGAACCCACCAGCTCCAAATAGCCAGTGGCGCCCCCAAGTGGTGGTTATGGGTGGCCATGGCCACCCCTAGAAAATTGCTGACTCCCATTAAAAAAAAAGTTTCTATCTCCAGAGTTTTTGGGGAAGACAGCAACAGATGATTTTAACTAAAAAATAAAATTCTAAAAAATAATTTTTGAAATTACATTTCAAATAACTGAAAAGCATATTTCTGAAATGTTTGTGTTTCTCAAATTTGAGTAAAGTGTTTTAGATTCATAGTTTTTTTTTAATAATAGAAATTAGTAACGGAGTAACGGAAGGCATTCCACAGGCTGAATTTTCCCAGAGTTACCACAAGGACCAGTTACCTGTGCCAACCCAAAATTTCCTTTGGCCCCATCTTGCCACCCTTTTCACCTCCAAAATTCGCCACCAAAATTTTCTAGTGGCACCCCT